TCCCACATCCACTCCAACATTTGTCATTTTCTTTTTTTGTTATATTAGCCGATCTGATGGAGGACATACCATTTAGATAACAGATGATGAAAAAAGATAGAGGGATAGTTGCCAGAAAGATAGGAGAGACAGGAGAATACAGTATCTTTAGGGCAGCTAGGTGGCACAGTAGATAGAGCACCGGCTCTGGATTCAGGAGGACCTGAGTTCAAATGCGACCTCAGACACATAACACTTACTTGCTGTGTGACCCTGGGCAAGTCACTTAACCCCATTGCCCAACAAAAACAAAACAAACAAAAAAAGATTGAGCCTTCAAACTCAGGGTTATAAAGTGCTAACAAACTTGAGTGACTGATGGAGAACATTCATTATACCCTTGAAAACACAAAGTTGTGATATTGAAAGGAATAGGTGTCAAGGAGAGAAGAAAAGGAACATGGAGAGCTGATTGCCTGCTAAATAAAGTCTCATCTTTTGAGCCTCGTATTTAAGATTCATCACAATCTACTGGAACCCTGCTTTTCCAGCCTTACCTCATGTGTGCTCTAGCCAAGCAATGCCCCCTGTACACACTGCCTAGTTTTTTGCCTCTATTCCTTTGCTCTGTGAGCCTTGAAAGCTTTCCTCACCCCATAACCTTGTGCTGAAATCCTACCCATTTTTTAAGGTACAACTTGTAAGCTGCCTCCTACAAGAAACCCTTCCTAATGTACCCTCTACCACCCAACTAATGATCTTTGACCTTTTACAATTCATTCTTAATTTTTGGTTTGTGTAACGTGTGTGTGTGTGTGTGTGTGTGTGTGTGTGTGTGTGTGTGTGTGTGTGTGTTGTATGTTCCTGTTAGGTTGTGAGCTTTCTGAGAGTGTGGACTGTGTTTGACTTGACTTTTGTGAAGAAGCGATGGATTGTTACCTGATACAGTGAATGCAATGATAATAAACTTATTTATTTAAAAAGGAAGGAACAAGGCTGGATTAGAGGAGAAACGAGTAGAAATATGACCCAGTGGACTTTAAGAACATAAACTAGACAGTTGAAAATAATACAAACTCTGGTCTCTGAGGTCAGAATTTGATTGTACTTGTCCAGAGGCCCCAGCTAAATAAGATGTACAAACACTTTGAAGATGGGGTATGCAGGTCTGTGAGTCCATGACTGTCCAGTTGGCATCAAGGCCAGAACCAGTTCTTTTCACCAGTCCTGTGGCCATTTAGGAACACCTTCCTGGAGTTTAGTTTCAAGATGGTATTCAAAGGAGGAAAGGGTGGCTCCTTCCTGGCCTACTTGAATCTATTCTGAGTTTAAGAAAAAGTGAATCAGGAGATTTTCCCATTTGAAATTCCCTCACTTAGGGATATGAGGACATAATTCCACTGAAAGTAGAATGGACAAAGGAATGGCCCCATGGGAGCTGGCCATTTTTAATTTTTAAAAAGTTGTTGTTTTTTTGGGCATTTTAAAGTGCGTGTTCCAAAGCAGTTAAGCGACAACCATCTAAAAAGAGTGGTTGTGGCCAATAGTACGTATATTCCACATGTGTATTTATGTAATATTAACTGCAAGCAAGGATTTCTGCTCTATTTTAATTATTAGATACCAGCACTATCCATCATATTTAGCCTGAGTTTTTCTGAAATTTAGCCTTGACTCCATTGCCATGGTTGTATACACTGTGTATGTCATTCTTTCAGCCCTGATTTCTTCACTTTGCATCACTTCATCTAAGTCTTCCTATGTCTTTCTGAATTCTTCATAGTCATTGTCCCCTGGCTACTCTGGAGCTTGCTGTTAAAGCAACAATAAGCTGTCCAGCGGAGCAGTTCAGATGCTATGGAGTCCTCTATGAGTGTCCATGCAGATATCCTGGGGCTAGGTTTTGGGTGACCTCTGATGAGTCTCTGGTTCATCACTTATAACTGCTGGCAAACAGCTGCTACTTTTAAGGGAGAGAATTCTAAGAAGCTTGAGGGAGCCAGAATTTGTTTATGTGACTAAAGTCTGGCCTACTAAAGAAGATAACATATTAATAAACTGCATGATTCCAAGCCAGTCATGTGTACTAGCACAGACTTGCACCCTAAGGGAAAATAGGCGAGTCTTCCAAAATTCAAACAGCAGGCAAGGAATCACTAAAATAAATGTGGGAACATTTCCCCTGTAGTCATACTATACTAGTTTAGAACCTCAACCTCCAGGATTCTGTTAAACCTAAGTCACCTGGGAAAAGTGTAATTGTAGGTCATTTGGAACTTAACATTTTCTGGAACAGAGGATGCTACTGTTAAGAACAGTCTGACAGTAAATAGGGCTTGGCATGGTTAGTTCATTATTATTGAAGTCTATTATATTGAAGTATATTAGAAATATGCAGTTGACCCTGCATTAAACAAGGCTTGTTGTCCCGAGAGAGAGAGAGAGAGAGAGAGAGAGAGAGAGAGAGAGAGAGAGAGAGAGAGAGAGAGAGAGTGTGTGTGTGTGTGTGTGTTTGAGGCAAATTGAGTCTTTGATCCTGTTCTCCTCCCAAGCTGATCCACATCCTCACACCTTTAGAAGTCTGCTATCTGGGCTGAAGGCAGTGATAGGATTGCAGAACTCTGCCTTAAGCAATGTTCAGTATTCAGCCCACTTGTGGATGCCACATTTTAGGAGAGTGACAAGCCAGAGTTCCTTCTGAAAAGGATGCCCCCAGAGGATGAGGGCTCTTAAAACTGAATTCTGTAAGAATTATGTAAAGACACTGGCAAGTTTAGCCTGAAGAAAAAAACTCAAGGGTGTGGCCGGATAGCTGCCATCAAATATTTGAAGATTGAAATGGGTTTAAATTTTTTCCAAAGGCATAACTAGAACCAATCGATTGAAGTTATAGGGAGGCAGATTTCAGCTCAATATAAGGAAAAAACGTCCTCATAATTAGAACTGCCGAGTAGGAAGTGAGTTACCTTGAGAGGTAATGACAAGGATACTTATCACAGATTTTCTGCTCAGCTGCCCACTGCAAATAGCTTCCATTATTGCAAGTCTTTCAGTAGAAAGTCTGAGCAGGATTTTCTAGGGGTGATTCATGTTTCAGGTAGGGGTCACAGTTAATCTTCCGAGGTCCTGTCTAGCTTTAGGAACCTTTTTTTTGGTTTGTTTTATTTAATTTTATTAATTTATTTTGATTTATCAATAATCACTTCCATATGCTTTTGAGTTTAAAATTTTTCTCCCCCTTCCTCCCCACCACCCTCCCCAAGATGGTGCACAATCTGATATAGACTTACATTCCTATTAAACATATTTTCACATTAGTGGTGTTGTAAGTAAGAATTAAAACCAATAGGAGGAACCATCAGAAAGAGGAAACAGAACTCAACAGAAGAGAAAAAAATAGCAATTCAACTTCCATAGTTCTTTCTTTGGATGTGGATATCATTTTCCATCATGAGGCCTCTGGAGATGTCTTAGATCCTTGTATTGCCGAGAAGGGTTAAGTTTATCAATATTAGTCATTGCACAGTGTTCCTTTGGTTCTGGCCATATCTTCAGAGCTCAGACTCATAATTAGTTTTCCAATACTCTTTTTCCATTTTAGGCTATCATCAATCTCTTTTCATTTAATGTTTCAGAGGGTTGGTGTAAGCAAGGCAATGCATATGAAAATCCTTTGAAAGCTGGAAAGCGAAGTTCAAATATAAGGCTTTTTTTTTGCATTTTTATTTTTTATTGTTTGGTAAACCTCTCAGAGGGATTAAAAATCTGGATCTCATGGGAGAATACCTAGTGGGAAAAGTAGCTCTACTGCTCTCAAATGGAGTTTGTTTGTACAATAAAGATTTGGTAAATTTCTGCATTAAATAAATGTAGACATATGTCTATATCACTCTAACTAGAAAATTTCTGGCCACAGGACTGATTTTAGTAGTGCCACCTGTGGCCTGCCAATGAGCTGGGCCCAAGCAGATTCAGCCCCAGGGAGTGTCTGTTACAGGTTCTCCACTGAGCTATCCATTGAAAATAACCAGAGGAAGTCAATGCCTTCATGGTGAGGCCAGGACTGAAGCATTTAAGGAGCTGGGACAGGCTCAGAGGAGAGAAGGTCAATATTATAGAACACCGATTTTTAGAACTGTGTAGATGGCTAAGAAAATGAGAACAGATTATCATCATTTATGAAACCGGAAAGAGTAATTAATTAGGCCAGAATTCCCCTAATTTTTTTTGTCTTTCATTTGGCTTTCTTCATGTCTCTGTCTTTTAGTCTTTGTCTTCTGTGAAAAGTGGACCCCAGTGCCTGTTCAGTACATTGAGATAATACTGTGACTTCTCATACTTCAGAGATAAACTCTTCATACACACCATATGTCTGTGTCATGGAATCTGTAGCAACAGAGGTTTTGACAACATGATAACAATGGAATATTGGAAAGTTGAACACTTTGGGAAGATACTAAAAACCCAGAGGGTACTGGAACAATGGATAGAGCACCAGCCAGAAGTCAGGAAGAAATGATTTCAAATCTGGCCTCGAATACTAGTTGTATGACTCTGGGCAAGTCACTTAATATTGCTTGCCTCAGTGTCCTCATCTATAAAATGAGCTGAAGAAGGAAATGGCAAACCACTCTAGTATCTTTGCCAAGAAAACCCCAAGTGGGATCACAAAGAGCAGGACGTGACTGAAATGACTGAAGAATAACACACAGTTATCAGGTACACTGTGTTATTACGAGAAGGCATTTACCAAATGGCCTCTTCAGACACAGCCAGAGGTTGTCGACTAGACTTGGGAAACCGAGCTTCTTAGACTGATGGGTCATTTTGTAAATCTCTTAGTGGAGGGATGTCAGCTATCTGACTTTGAAGGGTTTCAGGTTCTACTTTGTAGAAACAAAACACAGTCATTTGTTTAAAGGCTATACTATTTCCATTGTCTGTGTAAAGAAAACTGTGGTTAAACCATTTGGTGATTGACATTCCTAACCCTACCTCTTTCTACGTTTCCCAATGCTTAGCGGAAGCCCCATCAGAAATAGCCCAGCTCATACCACAACAACCAAGAAGCTCCCCTGAGCCATCACGACCAGAAGTTCCTGGAGAATCATCACGCCCAAAGATACCCCAGCAGCTTCCAGAATCAAAAGGCCCCCTGCCTCCCAAGACTCCTGGGAAACCCTTCCAGCCAGGAATACCTCAGCAGCCTTCACAGTCAAAGACTCCTCTACAGCCATCGCCCCCAGAGTTACCTGGGTGGACAGGTTTGCCCTTCCTACCAGGATCTACAGGGGTCATCATGGAGACTGGGGAAGCTGGGCCTCCTGGGAAAATGGTAATGTCAGGAAGAGGTTTGCCCAATGGTGTAGATGGCCAGGATAGTCGGTGGCCCATCCCAAGCTCTGAAGGATATGCTGGAGCCCCGGGTGAGTCATGAATTAAAGCCATATATGTATATAGTAGCCAAGTAGTGGAGGGGGGATGAGAATCTAGGTCTCCTGACCTAGATATGGCCTCAGTCTCTTAACACAAATGGGAAATTCATGCTATTGGTTCCAAAAGGGACCAGGGAGAAAACAGTGCTGGAACACCCTTAGGGAAGCAGTTGTAAGGACACACTCTCCCATGGTGTCAACAGCATCAATTTCCTGGGGAAAAGGAAACACATTCGTATCATTTTCTACATCAGAGTGACAGGGAACATTAAACTAATTAGCTCAGGTATAGAAAAACTTAGGAACCATCAGAATGGAGAATCATAATTTTAAAAGATGTTTATTAATATAACAATAATCTTTTATTTTTGTATCACCAACAATTCCCTCTGTAACTTTTTCCCCTCTTGGAGAGTTATCCCTCATAACAGACATTTTTTAAAGAAGAGAAATAAGAGAAAAGAAATTCAGCAAAACCCATCAATCTGGCTTTATATGCAACATTCCACATCTGTAGATCCTGCCTTCTGCAAAGGAGTGGTGGGAGATGTCTGTTCATATCTCTTCTTAAGGACCAGGGTCGGTTTTTCCATCATATTCATGTACCACCAATATGTTTATCCATCCTCCAACTGATGGGTCCCTACATTATTTCCATTTCTTTGCTACCATAAAAAGTGCTACTAGAAATATTTTGGTGTATATGGAGCCTTTCTTTTAGTTGGTATTTTCCATCAGTAATAGAGTCTCTGGTTCAAAGGGTATGGCTGTTTTAGTCCCTTGATTTGCACAGTTCCAAATTGCTTTCCAAAATAGGCTTACCAATTCACAATTTTTATTGGTGTGTTGGGGAGAACAAGTTTTAAAAAATCATCACTAGATAGTAGTTTGTTTGAAAAGATCTTGACCTTGTGACCTTGGGCAAATCATTTATTTTCTGCTTCGGTTTCCTCAAATGTAAAATGGGGATGATAAGAGCACCTACCTTCCAGGATTGTTGTGAGGATCAAATGAGATAATATTTGTAAAGTATGGTGGTACAGAGGTGACCCCAGTTTTTCTCAGGTTATACTAGCAGAGCTGAGGCTTTATAGGTTCCTATGAAATTGGAAAGCCTTTGAGGATGGTTCTGTTAATGAACTGTGTATCTGTTATCCAAGGACCAGCCCAAGTTCAGATGGGTTCATCATCAGGTGATTTCTTTCTTCTTCTTCTTTTTTTTTTTTGGCCATAGCAGCTCCTGAAGATAGTCTACTGAGGTGTGTGGTTTATGTCAGCCTAAAGAACCTACGTCGATGACAACACAGGCCTTTTAAAGTATTATTATAGTTATTTTTGCCATCTCAGTCTCCCTCTGATAACTTTCCCATTATCAGTAGAACCCTGGAATCTAACTCTGAAAGTTGGGAAGGCTGGGGTAGATGGAAGGCCATTATTCTGGGACTGAGAAAACTGTGTTTTGCTGTTAGTATGCATGTTTACTTAATCATAAAGATAAAAACATTGTTGTTTTCCATCAGTGACATGGGAGTCCAACGTTATCAGTTAGTTATGTATTAGGATTTTGTGTAACATTTGAAACTTTTTGTTTTGCAGGATACCCTAAACCACCACCTCCTGTGGAATCACAAGGTAATGGCTGGTGTCAGAGGGATATGTTATATATGTGTGTATATGTTATCCCATTAGATCCTTACAGCAGTCCTGTGCCTGGGGCACAGTCCTTTTCTGCTTGGCCTAAGTAGATAAAAGGACTCCATTGCAGGTGGTGGTCAGACTCTGCTTCTCAACAGTATGGAATTCATTCCTGAAATAGAGAACTTTGCTTCATAAATCTTTCTGTCTCATTTACATCCCAGAGCCCGTGTGTGCGTGGGTCTGCTACAAACCTGTCATGTTAAGACTTTATGGGTCCCAAGCTAAGTCACGTTTTCCAACTGGATCTAGGCAGAACTGCCATCCCAGAATCTACCTACTCAGATTCCTCAGCTCCCAAATTCTTGCCTTCAAAGGCATTCTGCAACATGTGACACTAATCTGAGAATTCTCTAGGATATTGGTAGTGGTTGCTGTTTCAAATTAGAAGAAAAGTGGTGCTACCCCTTAGAAACTTGCAGAATGGCTCTGGGAATAAGACAGAGCTGGAGGGGGTTTTTGAGATCTAGTTCAATGTTGTTACTTTAACCTAAGAAATTAATGGGTTAGAATGGGGAAAATGACTTGCCCAGGGTCACAGGTACTAAGTGACCAGAGGTAGCTCTTTCTACTTTATTACCCTGTTCCCACCCCTGACCCTTACTCTCCATTCTCTCACCCCACCCTCCAGTCACCCCCAAACAGACAATGCAGCAGGCTGGGAATGGGAAGGAACAACCCCAGCCCAAAGAGCTCTGACAAATCAGTTTCATTTCCTCTGTTTTAGGGATTCCTACTGCCTCTCTGGTGTCATTTTCTGCTGGTCTGACTCAGAAACCTTTTCCGAGTGAAGCGGGTGTGGTCCTTTTCAATAAAGTGCTTGTGAATGATGGAGAATTTTACGACCCAAACACTGGTAAGCTTTTGTGGGAAATGGGAGTTGGGATGATGAGGCAGTATGGACACCTTTTGATTTCAGCCTCTCCTCACATGTTCTGTTGTTTAGCCCTCTTGACCCCAAAGTGTTGGGAAACCCTCCAAATCCCCATAATATATTTGGGTTCATAAATCCCACGATGGCATCCTGTCTGGGAGAGACTGGCAGCTCCATCAGGTGTGGACGCCAAGAACTCAAGAGGGTCGGGATTGCATAATTTGTATTCTTTCCAACATTGCTGTTTTTAAAAAAGAAATTTTGCCCCGTCTCACATGCAGCAAAATATGATGTGCTTTAAGGGTCTGGAGACCAATATGCAATAACATTTTCTTGTTATGAGATCACCATACTTGTCCTCAGCATTCACTAGTCAGTAGAACCTCTCTTGGCACTGCTCTACATGCTCCTCCCACAGGCTCCTCATCCATAGGAACCACCAGAGGTTTCCTTGTTTATCTTTATCTGACACTCAATAAGTGTGCACCATGTGCTTTGCACTGTACTGGACATAAAGAGACACTCTCCTTGGTTTCCCTTCCAATTTTGTGTATTATTCAACGAAAAGGAAAAAAAAAAAGATGGCAGGGAACCAGATTCTCTTCTTAATGGGGATGGGAACTCTGCATGTTGTATGCTGTCAACATAACTTTAGACAAGGATCACTTTGACTTGGTGTTTGGGACAAAACCAGCACTCTCCTCATCCTCCCGGGTGTGCAGTGAAACAATAGGAGGGACATTATCGGCTTCCTTTAGGTGGAAACAGCCTGCCTTCTGATTCCAAGCCCTATGGCCTTGGGCTCCTAGCTGCGTCCTGGACTTCTCACTATTCCTGAACTCCTAGGCTTGCCCACCCATAGTGTGGAGCCTGCTGAGCTCAGGTAAAATCAAGGGAATTCACTCTTATAGTCCCTCTTATCAATTAGTATTGGTACTTCTTTCACCTGGGAGGGTGGGCACCACAGAGGAATGGAAGAAAATAAATTGAAAACATTTAACATTAACATTAAATGAAAACATACAAGATGGAGGTATTGGTGGCAAGCCTAGGGAAGACTTAAAAAAATCAGCAAAGGCCATTTTCTGAAAGAGTCACCTGGGGAGCAGAAGGTCCTGGACTTTATTGTAAGGTCTGGGGAAGGACAGAGGATACAGCCTAACAAACATTTATCAAATATCTGCTATGTGAGGAAAAACAAAACCAAACCATGCTGGGTACTACAAGAGATACTACAAGCTTTGTATTTCCTATTTGTTCATGTTTAAATAAAGCTATTTACATATACTTTAAGTTCCTCTGAAAGCCCACTTTTGTCCAGACAGCTTTTTAAATTTCTTTATCAAGGGTTAGCAACTTGACTGGGACTGTGGAAGTATAAAATTTTGCATCAGTCCTCCCCAGAGAGTGACCTACATTCCAGTGAGAATAACTTACAGAGCACGTTAAGGTTTAAAAAGTGCTCTTTTTTCAATGAACCAGTCAACCACCATTTAGGAAACATTTGTGTTAGGCACTGTGCTCTGTGCTGAGGATACAAAAGAAAAGGAAAAGGCCTCACTCTCAAAGAGTTTACTTCTTTATTAGATTTTTTTTTATCATTACATCAAAGTTGTCAAAGAGTTTACTTCTTAATGGGGGAAATGACATGTATATAAACTAATAGTAATAATGATGGCTAACATTTATATAATAAATGCTTTCTATGTGCCAGGCACTGTGCTAAGCACTTTAGTTTTTTTTTTTTCCATTTGATCTTCACAACAACCCTGGGAGTTAGGTGCTATTATTACCCCCATTTTGCACATGAGAAAACTGAGGCAAACAGGTTAAGTGATTTGTCCAGGGTTACACATATAAGTGTCTGAGGCCAGATTTGAATTTGGGTCTTCTTTATTCCAGGCCCAGCACTCTATCTACTGCACCATCTAGCTGCCTTAGTTTAGGTGTATGTATATAGAAGATATATACAGAGTAAATTAAAAGCATTAGCAGCTGAGGGTACCGCAATACAAGGTAGAGGAGTGGAAAGAGAGCATTAAAAGCATGGAAATAAATATATTCTCTTTCCAACTGCTTGGATCCTTCATCCTTTCTTTCCTGCCTTAATCTTTCCTTCAAGGATACACAGGTCCCCCTCCACCCCAGGCCTTTCCTCCCTCCCTCTAGGCTACATTCACCCCATCTCTTCCTGAACCTAATTCCTTAGTCAATAATAATCAGATGGCCTTGAGCCACATGCTGCCTAGCATTGGAACTTAACTGTTTCACCCGTTGGATTTGTCTTTCCATTCCCTTGGGAGGCCCCTCTATGCTTATCCCATCTAGGTTATGTGCAGTGTGGGTGATCAGTAACCATTTACTGAATGAACTGCTGTAACTGCATAATGATGCAGCTCTCCTTGTAGGCAAATGATCCTGTAGGCAAAATTAAGCCCCTGACCTGAGAAGCTTTCATCATCATCATCATCGATGTGGTCCATCAGTGCACTGGTTGATATGGTGCTTGTGGGTCAGCTGGTCTTGATGTGCCTTGGGAATTAGACCAGAAGAGGTCTTAAGAACATTTTTTTCTTAGGACTCCTAAAGGTGGCATTGGGCTAGTCACCCTCTTCTGAGTACTCTACCCTGACTCCTAGATCCTAGTAGATGGGAAGGCCAAGGCACCTTTAAGCTCACCCTGCTCTCTGTAGGTATCACTTTCTCTTGGCCAAGGCCAAGGGTCACCACTGAAACAGTTGGATTTCCTTGGACCCTGATGGAGAGTAGTAGTTCAGCCTCTTGGGCCTGGACCTGAATTTATACTTGCCTTACAAGAGCTTGAGGAAAAAAATGCTCTTGGGTTCACAAAATTTGCATATTTTCCTATTCTTTCAACTCTCCCTTTGTCCCCTGCCACCTCTTTTCCACACCCTTCATTCTATGCTTTGTGCAGATGGGGCTCTTGTTTAGTGTTCAGGATAGGCCAGCAGCTTCTCAGAAAGCAGTTAGATGAGCAAAAATCAACAGGGTGCACGGTTGGTACTAAAACCATGTAGCATAGCCACTGACACTGACCTCCAAACATTTGGGAGTCAGATAGTTTTCAGGAAAAAGTGCTGAATTCGTGATCTCATCAGGTTCCCTAGGTTTCCCCTTCTAAGGAAGTTGTCTTGTTCATTTCTTGGTATTTTTGCACAGCAATGTAGGAAATAACAGCAGCAGCTTTTCCAAGAGACGCAGATTAGAAATTTGGCTCTTTGGGTATTTCCAGCATAAGCCTCTTGAGAGTTGAGGGCCCTAATGGGGTGGGGAACCTAATGGTGTGGCGAACTTAATGGTGTGGCCCCGAGGCCACAGGTTCCCCGTTCCTGGCTTAACTAATTGCAAAGAACTTTCGAAACAGCATAAAAGAGGAAACAATGAGGTTTGAGCATATTGTTTTCTGTGAAACAGTCAGGATAGTGTCAGTATCTGAAACGGGCACAGTGCATGTGTAGTGTAGGGAAGACCAAGGCCATGGAATGAATAAAACTGGTGAAAAATATCTGTCCTCCTCCTAAGAAGCCTCAGGAGCTGTGTTTAAGGGGAAAGTTTATCCTGATGATTTGCTGTTCTATTGGAATTTCATGCCCTAATTATGCTACCTCCCTGGTGGGCCCCAGCAGCTTGAAACCCTGTGTGTGGATTGGTACTTGTTTGTTCTTCTTAACATTATTGTAAGAAGATACAAACCAGGATGGGGCGGGGCGGAGAGGGAGAGAGAGGGGGAGAGTGTGTGTGTGTGTGTGTGTGTGTGTGTGTGTGTGTGTGTGTGTGTGTGTGTGTCAGTGAGAGAGAGAGAGAGGGAGAGAGAGAGAGAGATGTGATGAGAGGGGACACAAACTTTTGTTTGTCTGCTAGCTCATCACTTTTAAATGAAAAGGGTTTTTGGTTTGTATTAACTGAACATCTGTCTCCTTCTCCTAGGGATCTTTACTGCCCCATATGATGGTCGATACCTGATCACTGCCATCCTCACTCCTGAGAGAGATGAATATGTTGAAGCCGTCTTGTCTGTCTCAAATGCCAGCATAGCCCAGCTGCACACAGCTGGATACAGAAGAGAACTCTTGGAATATCACAAACCCCGAGGGGGATTGCATACCTGTGGTGGAACAGGGACTTTTCATCTCATTGTACACTTGAAAGCAGGAGATGAGGTGAACATTGTGGTGACTGGGGGCAGGCTGGCCCACACAGACTTTGATGAGATGTACTCCACATTTAGTGGAGTTTTCCTCTATCCTTTCCTTTCTCACATCTAGACTGGCTTAGAACCTCAAGGAAAGGGTAAAGATAGTTGTAATAAACTCTGAAGCTTTAATATATTCAGTCGATGTATGTAATTGTAATGTGTCTTTCATGACCCCAAGTCCCCTTTCCCTGCTGCCTTTATAAAAAGAGAGTTCAGATTTTTAAGACCAAGACCTCCACCTCTGGTTTCAAAGCCAGACAACATAAGAGGACACACACACACACACACACACACACACACACACACACACACAGAGTCACTAACTCTCACAATGATCTTTTTCATTCCTCCAACCAAGCAACTTGAAAATCTATTTTATTTATCTGTCATGTTTATGACTCAGAATCGCATCCTCCCTGATTCCAAAGCAGTTGCCCTCAGTTACATCCATCAGACCTTCTTGCATCTCCTTAGCTCAGACCCTGAGTCTTTTCAGACTGCTGGAGACAGGAACTGCCGGTGTGGTGGTGGATGGAGTGTTTCCTCCTGAGAGAGAAGAACAGCTGCTGTTGACTTCCAAAGCTCTTCTTATTGTGGGGAAGATGGTATCAGACCACAGGTTTTGAGAGCTAAGTTAATGACTATGCTAATTTCTTCCAAAGAGCAGAACCAGAGGGACAGAGGGGAGGGTGTGCCCCTCTGGTCATGTCATAACACTGATGCCTTTAATCTATATCACAAAGGGGAAAAGTTTAAACACTGAAGTGTCTATCTGTGCTGCCATCAGAGGAACAGGACCCCTGGGCTTTTGAAATTCTTCTTACAACTTCCACCTGAAACCATGTGACTCTGGCCCCAAGTCGCCCTGCTCCTCTCTTCTGGGCTTGTTACCCCAGCTGAGTGTGGGGAATAACCAAAGACTCGATGTGTTTGTGAAGCCAGCTGGGCTCCTCAGATGACATGTACATTGTGAGTGCAAAGACAAGGAGTACCAGTAATAAAAAAAAAAAAAGGTCAAAATCACGTGATGGTAACTTCCTCAAGTTTGGAGTGTCCTTTTTTGGATGGGGTGGGGGGTGGGGTGGGGCTTCAAAGAAAGGGGGAAGAGCTGAGGGGGGCCAAGAGGCGGGAGAGGAAAGACATATGTTGGATCCTTCATAGCCTGTGGAAGCTAAAAAGGAGATAACTTTAAATATCTGAACTGTTAACTTAAAAAAAAAAACAAAAAACCAAGCTGTGTACTTGCCTTTTGGGGCGCGTAAATGCAGACCAGATGTGAATGGACTGAAATACCCCCACATGATCCCTGCAGCTAAAGGGAAGAGCGCCTCTGAGGGGACATTTTAAATTTATATTTAATCAACAGCCTGCCCAAGCTGATGAGAAAAAATGCTCATTACTTCACTGCATAGTTCAGTAATAGACACTGGTTTAAAAGCACTCTGGTTTCTAAGCAACAAAAGGCTCAACATAAAACTTATCACATCTTTCTTACAAGCTGAGATCATCTTGAGAAATACAGAATACTAATATATTTTAGTTACTATTAATTCAAATGACAATAATAGTTTACACTTATGTGGCACTTCTTATCTGCCAGGCACTCGGCTAAGCACTTTACAAATATCGTATCATTTGGTTGTCACAAACACCTCAGAGGCAGCAGCATTCCCCCAAATAGGTTTGGCCTCAAGTTTTCTCAATTGATAAGGCAAAAGCTGCCACCCTGTGATATGGATGCTTTTATCTTTAAGGAATGTAATTAACATTTTAATTTGAGGGGGTTCCATGGTCAAAGACAGTTTCATTTATCCTTTTCTCCACTCTGATTCTTAGTTCTGGGGCACTTACTTTGTGTTCTCATGGCACACACCAGACTTACAACTTATTTTGGTATCTGGAAGGCCTCGAAGGAGAAGAGATAGAGCTCCAAGGACAAGAAATCCTTTTGTACTTGGAATTTTTAAACTCTGCCCAGAAGGGTAGGGAGACATGCAGCCCAGAGAGAAGCAATTTCAGTTTACTGGCTACAAAGCTAGGGGTTTGACTAAAGGTAGCTTGTCACATTACTGTCGGCTGTCTTGAAAATGACTCACAGAAACAAAAAACCAGTGTAATAAAGACTATTTAGTCTCCTTTCTCTAACACACCCCACTGTGAAGAGAGTTTGCTCAACACTGAAAAAGGAAAATGCTGAAGGCATAGACCAGGCAAATATTGCCTGCTTTTGCTACAGGACCAAGTGCAGGAAGGACCCAAGTGCCTTCTGGTGTTGGAACATCCTCTTCAGGGAAGGATACATTTTTGCCCTTTGGGACCAAAGCAGGCAAGCCAAAAAAAAATTAGATACAGACAGCCAATGCATATAACATGCGTGTGTGTACATCAATAAATTAAACATTTATGAAGCACCTACTATTTGCCAAGCACTATACACAGATACATACATATACACACATTTCCCTACATGGTCTCACAAAAACTTCAAACCACAGGTCTGGTTGTAATTAGCATTTAGTCATCCACAACTTAAGAGGAGTGGTGGAAACTGCTCACACTTGAATAGCTTAAAGGTTTTGTGGGCAAAAGCACTTCCTCTTGAATGGCTCTCCCACAAATTGTTCATTAAACCTGTCTCTTTTCCAATTTGAACTCATCTTTTCTTTACCCAACTAATTGACTCCCACAGTTCTGCTAGGTTTCCCAGATCTTCCACTCAGTTCTACCCCCACATCAGCGCTGAATTCAAGTTCAATGTAAAAAGTTGTTTTCATGGCTTAACTTTGTAACATAATAGGTGTGGAATGAATACTCACTGATGAGGGTAGAGCTTAAACATCCACTCATGTAAGGGTTAAGAGAGCTCAGGAATAAAACAGAATTCAAATAAGACATAGGAAATGGTTGATGGGATAAGTTTACTTTGAAGAAAAAACATCAATTTTCCTTTGAAAACTGATTAGTAGACTGGGTTTAATATCTAATGTACACCAATGTTGGCCAATTTCATGAAACTGACAAATTGGATAGAGCTCTAAGAGTTCTGAACATTATGTGCAGAGAGAAACACTGAAAGAGAGAGGGACAGGAGATGAAGGCAATTCTGCTAACACCAGTCAGAAAACAATAGAAATTGCATATGTATGAATGAATCATTCCTTGGCTGAATCCACAAAGCAGGAGAGACTGGTTCCTGCTGGCATGTACTAACTTTGGGAAACACATTTTAAAAAATAATCACCAAAAAAGAAATCCCCTTTTGTAAATAAATCTGTCTACAAAGATTGGAATGCTAATTTATGGAAATGATCAATTTCAATTGAACAGTTTGCTTTTCTGGCAAGAGCTCAGAGACATCTTGTTGGGGCGAATAGCCTTGAAAAGAAGAAAGAGTCAATGTATTTAGTTTACATTTGTTTATTATCGGAACATTTTGTTTTGAACATCAAACACTGCACCAAAATGTGAGCCATTTACCCCGAGATAATGCAGTCTCTTTACCAAACCCAAAGTATCCTACTGATGCTCAGATTCATTTTAGACAACTTAAAAGAACTCATTAGTGTCTTTGCTGTCCAACAATCAAATACTTCACCATAATCTCAACTTAATTAATTGAAAGCACTGAAAAGTCCCCTCTTTTCATACACCTTCAAAACAAACCAACAATAACAGTTTTCATCTTGCTTCTAAGAAAAATTAAGTTTTGAACCAGTTTCACCCAACAAAGCAGAACTGAACACAGGAAACTCAAGCTTCACAGAGCAAAATATACCACTTCAAAGCTGATAACATTTCTTGAATAGTTGCACTTTCACCATCTTTCATAAGAGAAGGAATTTGCTTTATAAGCTATTTGTTTTGTTTTGTTTTTAATTTTAAGTGCACCTTTCCTATAGGACTCTTTAAGGGCCCTTGAAGATGCAATGAGGCTTAGAATGGTGAAGTGACTTCAGTGGCTGGACCAACAGCCCAGACTTTTCCGTTGAATTAGCTGTCTCTTCTGAAGCTCCATACAAATTAGCAGTTGTCATTTCAGGGCACTTGAACAGCAAGAAATTTTCCCCCCAGTTGAAAACTATGGAAACGTTCTGTTCTATCTAAACACAGTAAAAGGATTTGAAAGGGCTAAATCTGCATGCTCTGGGACCACCATACCTGTACTTCTATGACAGTCTGATCAACAATGGACAAATCTTACATTTTGCAGAAGTACAAGTTCAAAGCACATGGATATAAAAGCAATTGGTAAAGTTAATAAGACTGATTTTATTATTTTTAAAGGAAATTCAAGCTATTGAAACACTGGAGATAAGGAAGGCGTGCAATAAAATAAGACTGATCAAATATGCACTCCAACATTCCTTAATATCTCCCATTACTGCTGAAACACACAGCTTCTCACATGACTTCAAATAAATGGGAATAACATATCTTCATTAACACACCATCTTAAGGGTTGGTGTACAAACACACTGAATTTCACCTCTTTCACAGAAAGAACAAAAGTCATTTGTACCAAATGGCAATGGGATTTTAGCACAAACTTAATACTTGAATAACACTATCATCAGAGCAAATCACCTACTTCCAGTAAGAGAGACTTTTTTTAAATAAGGAAAGAGAATTACTGTTCATTAGCATACATAGAGCCACTGAATCAGACTGCAGCACAAAGCAACGAGTTGGGCCATTAAAACCCATTTCTTATGGACACTAACACAAAAGGGTAGAGTCACAGCAATCACATAGAGAGGTAAGAATCCAATTCGCAGGCTGGATCCAAAAAAAAGGCCTATGTGTCCAATGAGAAGACTGTTCATTAAAGAGAAATAAAACCATCAAACTCCTAAAAGGCTGTGTCTCCTTTGAAGGAGAACTTAAGAAGGGGTGAGTGTATTCAGAAATGTTTTGTACCTCATGTATTAAAAAACCCAAAACACCCTTACATCTGGAGGTTAGGTGAGTAGCGCTCACAAGCACAAGCTTTATAGATGACACACTACTGGCACTTATGAAAATAAAGTTATCTATCTATATATATATAGATATATGTGCATGTGTGTGTGTGTGTATATATATATGTATGCATACAAATACATACATACACATATATATGTACATACACACTCTACTATGATTTTAATTCACTAAATAGGTAGAATTTCATAAATATAATCTACTTTCTCTAACTTAATATGGATAAATACTTCAATTAGCTCACCTACACAATTAGTCATTCTGAAACATTGACGGTGAGAGGTTTTACCTAGAGACTTTTTTGCCCCTTATTTGGGAACACTTGACTCTTGAGTTTTGCCACTGAAAATCATCCAAGGCATTTCAGGTTTTTCCCCTTGCATTTGAAGTGTGCTCTACATCCACATAAACCAACGAGGGTGGACAGCTAAGACAAAAAGACAATTCCTAGTTATTCTGACCTGGAGGACTGACCCTACCACTTCTTATCTCTAACCCATTTCTAGATCAATATTTTCACAGTATGGGAAAGGCAGGTCAAAACTGAGAATACTTATCGTTCAAAATAGCTCCTGGAAAGAAGAATAACAGAAAAAACAATTGGAATGCAGTTTTATTACCCTAAGTAGTTCCCATTTTGTGCCACTGCCATCTCAGTTCAGAGTGTTTTTCAGTGACTGGGCTATGACCCTACCTATATAACACAGTCTACTCCAAACTTCTCTACTAGTTTTCTAGAATAGACACTGAAGGAAATCCCCAAAAGAGATGTCACTCTTGTCTATCCATTGATGAGTGTCCAATCTGGATTCTGAAAAATAACCTAAAGTACAAAACTTTTGAATTTGTTTGTGCCATCCATTGGGATATATAGACCACTGGTGGCAAGAGCCACTAGAGCAACTATCTGCAATTTTCAATTAAACTGGGAAATCCAGCTATTGATTTTCTGGTAAAAGCACCTCAATTTTAAGTCTGCAAATTTCGTTTCTCTACTTTCACTATAGATACCACCAATAAAACCATTTTGTGCTCCCCACCTTTCTACCAATGGAATACACTCCTGATCTGCTGATTAGTCTGATTTGTCTATACTGAACCTAGACTTGCAACACTGCAAACACGAGGACTTTCAATGATTGTCCTGGAGCTTTTCCTCAGGGACAGATAATCTACAGTAAGACCCCCCCCTTCTCCTACCTCCCCCCAAAAAAAACCACCTCTCAACTTCTCTTGGCTTTGTCATGAGACTAGATTAAAATGCTCAACTGAACACTGCTATTCTTTGCAATCTAACCAGGAAGGGAGACCCAGAGTGGCCAAAAGAAAAACGCTACATTAACAAGTCTGGAAACTTCATCCTCAAGAGAATTAGCCTTCTGAAGTGAATGCCAACTGTGATACCCAGAAGCAGCTCACCCCAGGTAAGAGACCACCTGACATGAACATGCCTGCCTGTTTTTCCTGAGAACATGTAGCTAATTGGGAAGAGAAAGTATGGCCAAGAAGTGCCAATTGGAATTCTGAGAATGCAGTCATAGGTACTTCTGCAACTATGTGCACTTGCATGTGATTTACTGGCCCACGAACCCTACTGAGATTCCCATTATTTGAAATTTATGGTGTAAAACAAATAAGCACAGGTGTGATTTGTCTCTCTTGGCCAAGTCTGAGCTGGAACAACAAAAAGGCTTTACCCTAGGGCAATTACAGGAAAGAAAAATAAAATTCAAGAAAGTTTTTCCCTAAAAGCTCACAATGCTTTAACATAAGAAAATTAGTTCTTACATTAAGGCTCATATAAGACTTGCTTATTTAAAGGGGGTTGTATGTGTGTGGAAGTGGTTGGGGGACAGGAGGAGAGAGGATGTCATTATATGATTAAGTAATGGGGGTTTGGTTAACGCGTGCCAATATTGCTGTACATATGATAAAACATATTTGTACATCTAAGCAGCTATTCTTTCATATTTTCTGAGTAAGGTTTTTAAGAACAGATATATACAGATTTTGTACCTACATTATCAATTGGCCCTGTAACAGTTAACCGAACAACTAATCCTCTGAAAATACCCTGGTAATACACGGAAACACTAAATCCAAAGTGCCTGGTTGGGGACTACTCCAATCTGCCTTCCATAACTTTTTGGTGAACTTTTTTTTTTTTGGCTTCTCCTTTCCACCTTCTAATTTAAGCAATTAAAAGGGGAAAAAAAAGAAAAAACAAAACCAAAACAAACCACCAAATACAACAGGATTGCAACAAGAGAAGCATAGGACTACAAACTTAAGGCTAATGCTTCGTCTTCACTCTACCACCTTCTGGTACCATAGGCTCTGGCAGTGTTAAGTTCCAGATACAATCAATCCCCAAGTCAAGCCAGGAGAGTGAAGCTAAAAAGGCTGCTGTGCCTTTCACTGCTCTGGATTGTGCCTCAACACCTACGGATCTAAGGTAAGATGAATGTGCCCTCACTTCAGAAGTGCTTTTCACTCTTCACAATGAGCCTGAGCATCTGAAGAGCAGACCCCTTTTCCCGAAGGGGTGACAACATTCAAGCCAGGTCATCCATGTTCACCGTAGGGATTGGGTCTCGCCAGTAGCAAAAGGAACTGAACTCTGGGCATGAAAAAGCAGAATTCTGTTCTTTGTTGAGGAGTGGGAACACATGTTCTACAAGTTCACTCAGCCTGTGATACCTAGATGAGAAGGGGTCGGGGGTAGGGTGGGGAAGAAATACAGAAGTCAGACCTTTAAAGGTGAGCAAGAAACAGAAAGTCAGAAATTATCATTGAATAAGAAATTCAATCTCCCAACTCTGGGCACTTTTGCTGGCTATCCCCCAAACCTGGAATGCTTTCCCTCCTCACTCACCTCTGCCTCTTGGCTTCCTTGCAATCCCAGTTAACATCCCACCTTCTATAGGAAAGCTTTCCTGATCTTCGTCTAGTGCCTTCCCTTTGCTATTTCCATTTTCCCCTGCATAAAGCTTGCTGTATATAGTTACACATAGCTTGCATACTGTCTGTGAGCTCATTAGACTGTGAATTCTTTGAGAACAAGGGATGTCTTTTGCCTTTCTTTGTAACCCCAATGCTTAGGACAGTGCCTAACACATGGTAATGCTTAATGAATGTGTAGTAACTGACTGACTGACTATATATCTTAGATCCCTTAAATATGTAGGGGGAAAAAAACCATACATCTAGCCCCCATCTAACAAACTGAATTTATTAATGTCCAGGTCAGTCAAGTTTCATTTTAAAAGTCTGGTTTATTGAGGGTTTTTTTTGGGGGGGGGGGTAGGCAATGAGGTTAAGTGACTTGCCCATGGTCACACAGCTAGAAAGTTTTATATGTCTGAGTCCACTCTCAAACTCAGGTCCTCTTGACTCCAGGGCTGGTATTCTTTCCAATAGCTGCCCCCTATTGAGCATTTCTTGTGAGGCAGGGGAGACAAAAATCTAGGCAAAGAGAAAGGTCTCCCTGAGTTTGGACTGCCATCTTAGTTCAGCAGGGACCTATCAGTTAAGGTTTTGTACTTTGTTTCCAACCCACACTCCTTGCAACTGTGCACTGTAATGAGAAATGGAAATGCTCTTACGATGACTTGTTCCCTTTGGTCCGTTCCTGTATTAATTCTCCTTTGGGATTCACCGTGAATATTCTACAATCTGGGACCCCAACTTGTGTGTAGGCATACACATCCTGCAGAAAAACATCAACAACAGGGAAAGAGGAAATTGCTAAGCACCTTTCAAGTTCCTTAGGACAGGCAAGCCCTAGGCAAGAAAGAGGGCATTTAAGGAAAACACAAAGGCCTGCGCACATTTCAGCTTTGCCATTGTACCTGAGCTCTAAAGCAACAGGCAAACCCAACAGTGACACAAGGTAAAATGGGACCCTTGGGGAGTCTGGCAGGAAAGGTGGCAGCACCGCCAACTGGACACTAGGAACTAGCACTTTCACCACAACTGAGCTCAAGAAATAATTATGAATTGCTACAATTTGGGACAACTAACCTGCTGGTCCCTGCCCCCACCCCCCAATGACCTTGTATTTATATTTTATAATATTTTATGTCCATATATATATACACATAAAGACATTGTCTCTGTGACAGATGTCAAGCTCCTTTAAGGCAGAGACTGATTCACTTTTATCTCTTACTTGTAGCATGGTGCCTGGAATATCGTAGATACGTGATAAATGCTTACTGATTAAATGTGATCAAGGGTCACAGGGTCATGCAATGTTAAAACTGGAAGGAAAGTCAGAGAACATCCAGTACAAACTGCTAGTTTTGCAACTGAGGAAAACTGTCTCCAGATTTGAAGCGACTAGGCTAAGATCATGCAGCTAATAAGTAGTATAACCACATTAGATTTTGCTCTTTCCACTTTTCAGTGCTCTTTCCAACTTCATCTGTGAGACTCTGGTACTAGTTAACTCACAGCTAAACACCTGCATAGAGGGAAAAAATCCACAGGGAAAAGGCAGAAAAATCCTAAAAGCAAAGAAAAACATGTCTTTGGTTTTAATTAAAAGTTCCAAAGCAGATAGACCTCACAGGTTCCCAATTATTATGGGAATGTGGAAAAAGCTAAAATTTTTATTGTCTCTCCTAGGCATCTTTACATTCCAATAGCATGTAAACTCTATGAGAACAAAGAATTTTTTGTTTTCCTCTTTGTAGCCTAATCACCTCCTCTTACACTTAGTAGGTGCTCATTAGAAGTTTGTAGAATTAGATTGAATCTAACATGATCACTCTTATAGCAGGAGAGAGATTCATTTTGATTAGATACTTAGTTGGCTGGAAAATTCTGGCCTGGTAAATTTCCTAAAACAAAACAAATGATAAGAATAATTTTGTTGGACTTTTAACCAAACAGATTGGAACCCATTACATAGAGAGGTGGTATAAACTTACATTTGGTCGATTTCCGAAAGCAGCATAGAATGGTTCTTTACTTGGAGCAAACAAATTCTTGATGTCATTCAAACACTCAATTTTGAATTTTTCAGGTTTCTTCTCTATCACTTCCCTAAAACAAAATAGGGACATAATCAAAGAATGCCAGATGATAACCTCTCCTAATGTTACATTTTTGACATGGTTTGGTGTTCCATTTGACCTTTTTAAAGGAAGTCTCACTTCTTCATCTTTAGAATTATCTTCAATAAAGGTCTTATCTTTCACTGTGTCAAAAACTTTGTTGATACTTTGATGGATCACCAATGTGGTTACTTCACTCCAATGATGCAAACTGTAACCTACTTAGACTATCTCCTCTGCTCTGGCTCTTGTCCATGTTATCTCATACATCCTCCAGAAGGGGTTTCCACCTAATATGCTTTCCTTTAACTCTCTTTTAACATGTATGGATACCAGTGGAGCATAAGTCTGCCAAATGTACATACTCTCCAAGAAAAATGATGATGGTAATAATAATAACTAACATTTATAAAGTCCTTTATGACATGCAAAGAACATTACCTTCACAATCTCATTTGATCACAATAACCCTGTGAGGAAGCATTTAAGCTGAATACCCTCACTACTCTTTGCTCCAACAGAATGTAAATTCCTTGAGTAGGAACTGTTTTTCATCTTGTCTTTGCAGACCCAAGGCCTAGCACAACTGGTGCCTTGTACACACAGTAGTATTTTAACAAATGCTTGCTGAATGAATTTATTCTATTCACTGATATCAGAAATTAGTTTAAAAGAGTAACCAAAGTATACTGAGTCGAGAAATTCAATGGGTATGTATGTATGTATGTATGTATGTATGTATGTATGTGTATATATACACAGACAACACATATACACACATGTGGATTATATGGTTAGAAAATCATTGATTTAGAGATTAAAGACATCTTAAGAGATCATCTTGTCCAACTCTCTCATTTCCCAGATTAGGAAACAGTCCGCTGTGACATGGCTACAGGACCTACAGGGTATTAAGGAGCTGTGCTGGAATTCAAAGCCAGTTCCTCTTTCTACATATCTAGCATTTTTTCCCCAGTGTACCATGTTCAGACACTGTGTTTCCCAGTTTTCCCATGTTCACTTGGTCAGTTTTTCAAATTCCTGCCTTTGAAGCACTCATTAATGTTTATTTCCTCCATTATTCTTATTCCTCCCCAGATAAGTGATAATTTTTTTTTCCTGAAATTACACTAATCTGTTGTTAGGAGGAAAAGGTATGAAGTCATCAGTCAGCCAACAAGTATTCATTAAACACTTACTATATATGCCAGACACTTTGTTAAGTGCTGGGGATAAAAAGAAAGGGAAAAACCTGGACTCCCCCCTGAAGAAGCTCACATTCTAATGGAGAAGAGACAACATGTAAACAACAATGTGTATACACATACAGGGTATATGGGAAAAAATAAGAAGAGACTAGATTGATATTTTCTTTTGTGATTACTTATAAACATAAGACCAATATCTAATTTAGACTACTTTTGAGAATACCCCAAAGAAACCAAAGAACTAAGAAAGAAATACAATTTCTGAAAACAAAAACCACGATACTCAACTAGTACATCTAAGGTTTCTATTTTTACTACAGTGTTTCTCTTCTAATCCCTTCACTGAAGTGCCAGTCTGATGCTGCACTCTTGCATGGAAATGAACTTTGCCTCTTGAAGTCTATGCCCTTAAATGACAAGGTCCTACTGAGCAGGAAAGATTCTGAGAATAGGCAGTGTACCTGATTGACTGACTGTTCTCTGATGACTAACCTACCTATATTTGGACAGGAGATTATGAACTTTTTTGGGGGAGTGTTTGTGTAAGAGGAGAGTGAGTCACGGCAATTCTTGAAGACTTCACAAAGTTATAGAGAGTCTGCAATCTGCTATGATGAAAGACTACTCACAGTAATGAACAAATTTCTGATGTCACACTCAGTCACACATTACTACCATGAGCTAGTGCCACCTTAGCAAGACTGTTCTACCCAACAGCATCCCCAATCAACCATACACACACTCACAGACAGATAAAATGTTCCACTTACTAACACATACCTATGAAAAGCAGAGAACAAGCTGCTAGGAGACAACATCAAAGGCCCCCTAGGAAGGATAGTTCCTTTGTCATTGACCCAGTGCAGGTACCCTCGTGTCATGTCTGCCATTCCAATGGCCCGAGCTGAGCAATACAGAAATTTGTACCCGTTCCTAAAGAAGAGAACACATTCTCCAGTAAGAAATGGGTAATAACAATGTCCCCTAAAGGCAGCTATCTATAATGCTAAATATTGTAGAAATATAAAATTCGCTATAAACCAAACCATTTAAATATAAGCTATGACTCAAGGGAGAAAAATATAGTTCTCTGTTTTAAAAGGCCCAACCAAATGAAGCTCTTTCTTCCTAATCATTCACTAAGAGAATCAGATTCTACAGCTTAGGAGAGAGTCAGCTAAGAACACAAATTTTTACCTTTTTTTAGGCAATAATGTGGACCAAAAAAGAATGCAAACTGCTTCTTACCCCCATAAAACTAAAGACTGTTAAATTAATAATGCTAATAATAATAAATCACGAACTAACATATTCATTAACTACTTAATGTAAGAAAAATTTGGTTTCTATTTCTGATGATTCTGTCTTGATGGACAGGTGTCATTCTCTTTATTTATAAAAAGGGTGTGTGTGTGTGTGTGTGTGTGTGTGTGAACACACAGCTTACAGTATCTGAGCTGTGAAATGAAAATGTATAAACCTAAACCTCAGTATAAATATTTTTGCATACTCATATTCTGATGCTTTTTAGTCTATGTTGAGGAATTCTCAACTTTTCCATGGAAAGGGCTCCCTGATATTGTATCCAAGAGATTCAAAGGCATACACAGCTATAGAAATTAAAAGGCAACCATTTCCTGCTGAAAAATCATCACCACATCTGAGAATCAAAGATGGGGTAGAACTGTCAATGAGACATGGCACACACTATTATCACCTTACTGATTTATTGGCTCCAACCTTTGCATTAACAGAGAAAGTTTGGAAAGAAAAGTGCATGCGTACATACAGGGCAGGATATAGGGGAAGGCAACTAGGTAGCACAATGGACAGAATAGTGGACTCTGTCAGAAAGATCTGAATTCAAATCCTGCCTCACAAACTTACTAGAAGTGTGACTTCAGGCAAATCATTTGACCTCATTGTGCCTGTTTCCTCATTAATAACATAAGGAGGCTGGATCTAATGACCTCTAAGGTCCATTCCAGCTCTCGCTATATGATTTCATGATCCTACAAAGAAAGAAAGGAGTGGGAAATTAAAAGGAAGCCTAAGGAACTCGGGTGCCCCTGTATTCCGATATCTATCACCTTCCAAAAGCAAAAAGAAGTTCTACTTAAAATCTAAAGGGGAATCCCCTGCCACAAATGATTTAGATTGGTTGATTATTCTACTCCTTAAATGAGTAAGCCAAAGCAAGTCTAGGTTCCCAGAGCTCCTTCCCATGCCAGAAGGAATACGTACTCATTGATGGAATGGTAGAGTTTTGCTATGCCCTGATGAGTCCAGTCTTTGCCTAGTTGTGGGAGAATCTGCCCTAAAGCATCAGACCTAAGAAGAAAACAAACAAAAGAAATAAACACCAAGAACGAATGATGAATTACATAATTATAGAAATATAATTATATAATATATATAATTACATAATTATAGAAAGCTGAAAATTTTACTATCTAGTTAAATGATGCTCTGTTCCTTTCACCTAACTCTCCCCCACCCAAGAAAAAAAAATCCTCAGCAATACAAAATGCAGATGTGGGAGGCAGGCAGCTGCATCATCCAAAGGACAGCCTGACAGCTGCCTAGAAGGACCAAAGAAGCAATTGAGGTGATTTCACCAACACACTTTAACTTTCTTTTTTTTTTTAAATTATTTTTTCAGTTGGGCAATGGGGTTAAGTGACTTGCCCAGGGTCACACAGCTAGTAAGTATTATGTGTCTGAGGCCGCATTTGAACTCAGGTCCTCCTGAATCCAGGGCCAATGCTCTAGCCGCTGCGCCACCTAGCTGCCCCTCACCAACACACTTTACAAGTAAAAAGAAGTCATTTGCAAAGTGGATCCCCACTATAGTAACTTTAAACCTGAAATCATACTCATGAGATCCAGATGTTAAACCTAAGAGGGAACTTCACACTAGACTCCTTATAATCACATCCTTCTAACCTCTCTAAATTTGATATAAAAGATTACATATGCTTGGATCAGCATCTGTGATCTCTACGCTTCACAACTCTCCACAGTGCTGCTCATTACTGACAGTGTGTCCGAATCATCACCAGGCCAGAAGCCTCCCAGGTAAAGAGCTCACATTCTCCCCAACTCCCAAACAATTTCTTTCTACTTGCTTGGTTATTGTTCCATCGATATCCGAAATTATGATCTTGTCATTCCAGTTCCACAGGTAAATGGTTCCCGCACAGCGACAGGTGCCTTGATACTGGGTTGTAATGCTGAACACGACATCATTTGGGCCATCTTGGAGCTTCAGTTTTGCCTTTATAAAAGCAGAGGGGAAAAGTGGTTACATATACCTGTGTAGTTTAGATTCAGATACACAAATGCACAGAATAACTTTTATGAAGCTGAAACATTTCCTAGGTAAGGAAGGTTTGTTTGCCCACTACAGTTCTAGTTATTACTGCCTTTTTGTATGCTCAGTATTAAGCATGGTGCCTTGAATGTAGTAATAAGTGCTTAATGAATGCTAAGTGACCATGGAGATAAGAGACATATGGAAGTTCTCAAAGGCTAGACAAGGGGAAGAGGTGAGTAAACTCTGACAGGTCTGGCCAGGCTGAGGACTGGCCCAAGTTCAAAGAAACTCATCACCAGGCTGGCCAGAAGGTGCTAAATTTTTCAGCCCCACCTTCAAAGACCTGTCAATTCAAAGAGGGGCTGCAATCTGCATTCATGGAGGGAGTAGACACACTGATAAAATCAGATATTCTAGAAATGCTGAAGCATAATAAAAAGTTACACCAGTCTTTCCTAAGTTCAAAGATATGTGTCATGCTGCCCAATGCAAAAATACAAAAGAGTTATATTTATTAAAGAAGAAAACAGGTTTACTTATATAAAAATCACCATAGTGATGACAGGAAGTACAAATAGAGGCAGGATGGTATACATTGATGATGGAACCATAGGAGCTGGGTTTAAATCCCACCTCTGATCCTGTGTGACCTTGGGGAAGTCACTTAAACTCTTTCAGCCTCATTTCCTTGGTCTATAAAACGAGTAGGCTGAACTCAATGATGTCTGAGGTCTCTTCATGAACCCATCTGGGGTCTTCTTGGCAAAGATACTGAAGTGGTTTGCCATTTCCTTCTCCAGCTCATTTTACAGATGAGGAAACTGAGGCAAGCATGGTTAAGTGACTTGCCCCGGGTCACACAGCTAGTAAGTGTCTGAGGCCAGATTTGAACTCAGGAAGATAAGTCTCCCTGATTCCACTCGATCCACTGTGCCACCTGGGTGCCCGCACAACAGTATAGGTCCTGGTAAAAATGACAGTTACATTCAACAGCAGTCACATAGCTCAGGATCCTCAGGCAAGACTAAGAAAGAATAAAGCTGAACCTAAATCAAATCAAGCTGTGGATGAGAACCACAGCAAAAATGTGGGAGAAAAAACAAGAACTCTGTGTACTACATGGGCTACTGATGCTCACTGTCTCTTGCGAGCTGACCATCTTTAAATGATCTAACTCACAGGCTGGTAACAATTTATCATTTTCTGTGGGATGACTTTTTAAAATTTACCATATTTTTACTCCAGCCATTGGATTTCCTCTATTTAATTTTGAGGAGGAAATAAATGAGCTTTCTTCTCATAACACAAATTCTCCACTTTTACTTCAACATGAACAAGCCTTTACCTGTCTTTAGATCTGTGACCTCAGGGAAGTCACTTAACCTCTCTGAGACTCAGTGTGTTTCACTAGACAATCAGTGAGTTGAACTAGAGAATCTACAAGGTTCCTTCTAACTCTGAAAGTCTATGAATTGAAGCACTTACATCTTAGGATTAGCAAATTCCTTCTCCTCTGCTCCAGCTTACCGGCTCCTCTGATTCCTAATGGTTTTTCCTTTAATGAACTAAGAAATCCTTGGACATACCAGTAGCTAAAGTTTTGAGATCCATACGGGAGCTTCTGCCCTGGAATTTTCATCATTTCACACATGTTGAAAAACTTTCCATGGCTCCCTATTACTTACCACATCAAGCCTTATTTCTCTACCTGGTATTCAAGGGCCATCCACAGTTCAAAGTGACCCATTCCACCCAACCTTGTTTCCAACAAATTCCCAGCATAAATGACCTCACTCTCTGATTTTGTTAGGCTGGTCTTTTCACTGTTCTGTCTCTTACTCATTCATAACTTTGTGCTGTGATTAATTTTGTTCCCATTGCCTGGAGTGCTCCCCTATCCTTCTGGCCAAAGCTTCTTTCTCTCTCTCTCTTCTTTTTTTTTGGGGGGGGGTGAGGCAATTGGGGTTAAGTGACTTGCTCAGAGTCACACAGCTAGGAAGTGTCAAGCGTCTGAGGCAAGATTTGAACTCAGGTCCTCCTGACTCCAGGGCTAGTGCTCTATCCACTGTGCCACCTCGCTGCCCCAAAGCTCATCTCTTTTCAAGGCTAAGCCATCATGTCCTATCTTTCCTCTGCAGCTTTGTCCAACTAGCCAACCCTCATGGATATCAACTTCCTTACTTTAAACTCTTGCCGTCTTCAGTCTCTGTCGTACCATTAGTCACTTAAATGTCTCCCATCTGGCATCATTTTCTAATTATTTCATGTGCATTAGTCTCGTTTTTTCAATTATCCTTGACAATCCTTACGCTTTTGCATCCTCCACAGGGCTCAGCATCACATGAGGAACATAATACATGCTCAACAAATACTTGCTAGGTAAAATGATTAGTCTTCAAAATGAATAATCTGTCTTTATTTCAAGACACTCATTCTCATTGCCCCTGGCAGAGGTGGGGGAAGGCCTTCCCCCCGGATATCTATGCATGAAAGCTAACAGGGCTCCTATGTATAACTTCTCTCCTGATGCCATAAGACCATTCTTACATTTAAGCAAAAATTATTCACATGCTTTCACTTCCCTTTTTACAGTCAAAATACCTAGGAGAAGAAAATTCAAGGTAGTAAGAGATGAGAATGATGAATGAATACGTTATTTGTAAAATTTTCTTTAAAATATATATACACATATACACACACACATATATGCATATAAACATGTGTGTGTATATATATATATGAAAATTTTTTGTGCAGCTTAACATGATGGAAGAAACACCTGGTTGGTTTCATAGGACCTCAGTTCAGATCAGTGCTTTGACACTTATTAGCTGTATGACTAGGCAACTTACTTAACCAACCTGAGCCTCAGTTTCCTATTCTATAAAATGGGAATACTGGCTCTTTCACTAATTCCTTCATAGAGCTATTATCCAGAAAATACTTTGTAAAATTTAAAGTGCTAAATAAAGGTACATGACTACAATACACAATACATAGAGACTACTTACAATTTGGTCTGAAGAAAGTCGAAGTGACTTCTTATAAGAAGTAGTGCTTCCATGGCTCAAGTGTTCTACTGGGACAGGATCAATTTTGAGGGAATCTTTAAGCTCCTGGGAGTCCTCGTCACTAGATGAATCATTTTCAGTTGGCCTATACAACATCAATCAACATTAGCACTTATTTAACTCAACTATTCTTAGTAATACAATGATCTAAGGCAATTCTGAAGGACTTATGATGTCTCTAGAGAAAGAATGGTGCAGCCTGAACGCACATTGAAGTTAATTTTTCTTTATTTTTTTGTTTATATTTTCTTTCACAGTGTGACTTACATTGAAATGTGTTTTGCATGACTACACATGTATAACCTATGTCAAACTGCCTGCCTTCTCAATAAGGGGAGGAGGGGAAGGAGAGAATTTGGAACTCAAAATTTGAAAAAGAATGTTAAAATTGTTTTTATGTGTAATTGAGAAAAAAAATAAAATGCTAAAATAAATAGGGAAAAAACTAGTATTAAATGCTTACTATGTACTAGGTGCTGTGCTAAACACAGAGGATACAAAAACAGACCACATTTCCTGCCCTCAAGTGTCTCACAATCTAGTGGGAGAAATGATATGTACTTAAAAAGGTATATACAAGACAGATAAACAATAGATGGAAGGCAATCTTAGAGGGCAAAGTACCAGTAGCTGGGGAGTGGATATGGGGAAAACCTGCAGAAGGCAGTGCTTAAACTTAGCCTTAAAAGAAGTTAGGGATTCTAAGAAGGGGAGGGGAGAAAACCCTCCAGGTTTGGAGAAAAGAAGAACAGCACCTAGACCAGTATGTCTGGACTGTAGTGTGGAGGACTCAGGTCATAAAGAGCTTTAAATTTCAAACAGAGGAGTTTCCATTTGATCCTTGAGGTAACAGAGTTCACTGAATGGGGTATGTGTGTGTGTGCACAATGTAGTTAGAAAAAAGTGATTTGGGAAAATCTTTTTAGTACATAAACACAAACGTATTAAATTCCTACTATATTCAAGGCATTACACTGGGTACTAAGGTAACAGATGAAGAAGACATGGTTCTCTGCCCTCAAGAAACTAGCCATCAGAAGGAGAAAACACAGAGAAAAATAAGACAGAAATATGTTGAAATACAATGCATGCCTAGGACAGAGACATAGGGTTGGAGAAATTAAAGCAGCAGCAGATTACTCTGTGCCTTTTTTGGGGGGGTGACGCTCAGGTAAAGAGACTCAAGTAAGGCTTCAATGAGGCTGTGGAATCTTTAAGGATAAGAAGTATTGCAATTGGTGGAGACAGGGGCAGGGAAGGAGACAGGGACAAGGGTGAGAGAAGAGCAAGTGCTTTCCAGGTATGGAAGACAATGTGAGTAAAGGAATGGAAATGGAAAAAGGTGGACAAGAGCAAGGACAGGCTGAGTAGTCCAATTTGACTAGAACCAAGTACAAGAAGGAGATGCATGTGAGCTCAAACTGGAAAATATAGGCAGGAGCCAGACCATGGAGAGAATCTTGAATACTGCGTTAGGCTAAGGAGTCTGGGCTTTATCAAAACAAATTACTGTATGCATTTATCGATTACAAACAAGCTTAGCATGTTTTCTACTAGGTCAAAATATGCTGCTAGGCTCCTCAAGAAGCTTACTCAAGGAAATACTTCAGGGACTGCTTTAATCTATGGAGGGAAAAAATATCCAAGATATTTTTAGTTAAACTAAGTAAATGCTGCATTTCATTTACTAAATAGCTTTGTATTTAGGAGCTAGGAGATACACAAAAGATTAAATCAGACCTGATCCTTCCCATCACAGTGTTTCAAGTTGAGTAGAGAGATGCAATGTATAAATAAGTTACTACAATACAAAACAGTCCATGATTAAATCTCCATGAGAGATCTACGCTAATTAGTCACTCTGCCATAGAGGTGACCTGGGAATTGAAAGGTTACCAGGGGCTGGGGAACCTGTGGCCTCAAGGCCACATGTGGCCCATATGTGGTTCTCATGTGCATCCATTTGAATGAGTCCAAGTTTTACAGAAGAAGTCCTTTTATTAAGAGGATTTGTTCTGTGAAGTTTGGATTCAGTCAAAGGGCTGCACTTGAGGACCTAGAGGGCCACATGGAGCCTTGAGGTTCCCCACCCCTGGGTTATACCAATGGAGCCCAAGCTTTGGGAGGTTCTATTAAACCTGAAATGCTTTAAGTATGAGTCCAGTAGTGGTTTGTATGTCTGTTATTTTAGGAACAATCTAAGCTGGGAAAGGCTCATCACTAGAGGTTTGCCACCAGTCACTCAACTAGCAATTTATTAAGTATGCACTATGTAGCAGGCACTGAGCTAAGACAAGGGATACAGATAAAGCCAAAACCAACCTAGTAACAAAACAAACAAACAAACAAACAACAACAACCCAGTTCCTGCTCTAAAGGAACTCACAATATGATGGGGGAGACAACATGAAAATAGCTATGTACAAACAAGATACACACACACACACAGAGTGCTAAGTTCAGAGGGATGGTTTATAAGGACAAGTAAAGGCTCACAGAAAGTGGGTCTTTAACTGAGACTTGAAGGAGGCAAAGATGATGAGGGGCAGAGTTCTAAGCCAGCTAGTGAAAACGATCAGAGTTGGAAGACTGAGTTTCATACACAAGGAACAGCAAGGGCTTTGAAAGCTAAAGAGAGGATTTTATATTTAACCCTTGTGGTAATAGGGAGCCACTGGAATTTACTGAATAGGGGGGTAATATATGGTCAGACTTGTGCTTTTGGAAGATCAATTTGACAGCTGAGTGGAAGACAGACTGGAGTGATGAGAGGCTTGAGGCAGGGAGACCAATCATCAGGCTATTTAAATAGTTTTGGCATGAGGTGATGAGGGTCTGCCCCAGGATAGAAGGGGACATTATATATATGTATGTATATGTGTGTGTGTGTGTATACACATACATATATACACACATACATACACACACACACACACACACACACATATGTAGGTATAAACTACAGGACTTTACACCTAATTGTATGATGGGTGGTGCTAGGTCATGATCTTAGATAGTGGTACCCTTGTTGTTAACAGCGAAGTTAGAAAGAAGGGAAAGTTTGGAAAAGAAGATGAATTCAGTGGCGGAAATGTTGAATTTCAGTTGTTTATGGACAGACAGTTAGGGATGTAAGACTGGAGTTTAAGAGAGAGGTTAGGGCTGGACAAGTAGATCTCAGAGTCATGTGTATAGAGATGTATTACTAAAATGATAGAAGCTGATGAAATAGTACATAGATGGAGAAGAGCAGAAGGCCCAGAAGAGAGCCTTGGAAGATCCCTACTGTTAGCAGGAGGGACCTGGTTGAAGATCCAGCAAAGAAGACAGAGTAGGAGTGTTCAGACAGGTATGGGGAAAACTAGGATAGAAGAGGGCCGTGAAAACCTACAGAGAAGAGAGTATCAAGGAGAAGAGGAAATCGGCAGTAGTGTGAAAGGCTGAAAAAAGTTAAGGATGTTGATTCAGAAAAAGACATTAGATTGGGCAATTAAGAGATTATCAATAACTCTGGAGAAAGAAGTTTAGGTTGGACAATGAGGCTGGAAGCCAGACTGCAAAAATGTGAATTTTTCACGTGGTTATTAGCAACTCATGAAGACCATTTGCTATGACTTTGGTGTCAGAAGTGAGAACCCTGATCCCCAAATTACTGAAAGACAAAGGTGAAGAAGAAGTTCTGTCTGACAAGATTATTACCAACTGGGAAAAGCAGTGATGGTTTTATTGAGTGTTTGAAATGGCTTTAAAAGGGCAATTAGGACTTCAAAAAGCATTGAAGGAATTTCAGGTATAGGGAAGAGTATAAACAAAGGCCCAATATCAGCAATGCCTGGGACAGGATGGTGAGCAGTCACTATGGCTACAGTAGAGAGTCATTATAGGAGATTACTATGAGATAAGGGTGGAAAGGTAGGATGGCAGCAGATCATAGAGGGCCTTGAATGTGAGGCTTCTGAATATGAACTTCATTAGGTAGGAAATTTGAGATTACTGAAGGGTTTTATACAGAGGAGTGACATGACGAAATCTTCATATATGGAAGCTTAATCTGGCAACACCATAAAGAATGAATTGAGAAGGGAGAGAGTATAAAGGCAAGAAGACCTAGCAATTGACAATTTTATTTTTTAAGTTCTACTCTTATTTCTTTCTCAAGCAAAAACCAGGAAACATAAATGGTGCCTTATACAAGGAGAGCAACATTAACTTGTCAATGATCTTTTAGCTTTGGGTTTTTTTTTAATAAGTGCCAAAATTACTCTACCACCTTCACAGTCTCACACACATATGAACTAGTTGGAAATCCTAAATAATTAATCAGCATTTTTCTTTGGCTAATTAGGCTATCTTTCCTTGACTCCTACAACCTGAATGTAATTAAAACCTGTCCATGATTTGCTATTGTCTTACTATATTTTTAGCTCAGGTAACTAAGGTCTGCTGATGCCTTTTGCAAGGGATATCTGAATTTTGAAAAGGTATAGTTTAAAGAGAAAATTTAACTGCTCCTATTGAATTCAAAAGCCAAGAACACCCCCTAAAGATTTTATTCACAATCTTAAAATAGGAAGATGAAGGAATAAGAAAATGATAAAGTAAGGTCTAAGGTTACTATGTTAAAGAATTGAGGGAAAGGAGGATGAAGAAAATTTAAATGGGGAAAAGGCAGAGGCAATGGAGGAAATTCTGCAGGAACGCCAATTTTTGGTACTAACTAAAAGAAAAATCTGGTGGTTCAACTCTAGCCTCCACACTGGTTTGATTTTACTAGTGCCAACTATAGAGGCAAGGAGTAAAGTTTGCTTCTTCAAAGAAATGGTATCTTAAGGGGTACAGCATCTAGTCCTCTCAGGTTCTCTTCTTTTGTATCTTTTTAAACAAGTGCTATTTTAAAGGCAATCCTTCAAATTCAAATACTTAATCGGTCTGTTACAGCATACCGTATGTTCATCATCTGACTTCACATGTTTTTAGAAAAGTCAAAGTGAGCACCTTCTAACTAAGTAATTCAAAACAATTTCCAACTAAGGACATCCAAAAAACCTTTCCAGCCCCAAATCACAGAATGATCTCCTCTGAATCTTTGAAAAATAGCAGTCAATTTATTTAGTCCAGAGAAAGAGGAAAACAAATCAAGTAAAATGCTCAGGTAATAATGAAAAGGCACTCACCTTATATTTGTTTGTTCTTTTGCATTCATTGGTAAGTCACTTGCTTGTGGAACCTCAGATTTCCCTTCTTTGGCCTCTGGTGGCTTAAAAACACACAGCACACACATACAATGTACCACACTAATAATGGCAGAAGAACAAGGTCGTCCAGGCCAGATTCATGAATGCCTTTGATAGAAGGCACATCCCTTAGAAGTGATCATCTAGTCTCTTACTGGTGGAACATTTGCTTCCTGAGCTACTTCACAAAAGAGCTATTCCAAGGGTGGACTCTTACTGTGAGAAAGCTCTTCTTCCTTACAGTGAAACAAAATCTGCCTCCCTCTAATTTCAACCAGCAGTGAACTGGTAAATGTTTTAAAAAAATGACTTTCTAAGGGGAAAAAAACAATGTACACAGGACACATTTCAAAGTTTAATCTGCATTATTATTTTCTCCATCACTTTCTTAATTCTAGACAATGAATGGAACAACATTGGTAGCATTTGCTGATTTCTGAGTGTCAATACTCAACACAGAAGTTACTCAAAGTTGTTCTTAAAACAATATTGCTGTTACTGTATACAGTGTTCTCTCAATTGAGGGACTAAATAATTTTGGCTATTAGAAATACACAAATTAAAAATAAAAGACATATAAAGAGAGATGTATCTCTGTATCCAGAGAAAGAACTGATAAACAGAAGTTTGTATAGAATTTTATATCTCTCTCTCCATATATATATATAGTGTATATATGTATATACACACACATACACATACATATGTCTGTGTGTATACATATACATATGTACATATGTGTGTCTAATGGTAGCCATCTCCAGGCAGGGGGTGGGGAGGGAAGAAAATAAAAGAAAAAAAAAGAATTTACATGATAAGGAGGGAATAGGAGGGAATAGCAAGTTGTACATGATAGATTTGCAGTTATAGGTGCAATCATATTTTTTATTGTCCTGTGCTATGGAAATGCTTGTTTTGTTCCCTGAACTGAAAATTAAATTAAAAAAAAAATCCAACACAGAACATTTAACAATACAAGCTGGCTTCCCCACAACCCTGACTTTAACCCACTGGTGTTACTTCTATCCTTTGGAGCCACAGAGGATAAACTTAATCTTTCTTACAGGTAATAGATTTCAAATATATGAAGAGCATTCTTGGACTTCCTAAATCTTCTTTTCCTTTAGCCTAAACTTTGCCTGCTCCTTTCCCTGTCTCTTCCAACTCAGCAAGTGTTCCTTTGTGCCAGAGATTCAAAAAGAGGCAAGGGAGGGGGGAGAGAAACAAAATCAGAATGGGTCAGCAAAACCAAACAACAACACGTTTGCTAGTATATGCAATATTCCTCACTTACAGTCTCCTATCTCTCTAATGAAGGAAAAGAGGCGCATTATCTCATTTCTTCTTTGGGACCAAATTGGATCATTATAATTACATAGTGTTCAGTTTCAGTGAAATGTCTTTCTAGAAGAATTCTGGAGATAAAATTGCTGTGTAAAGTATAGGTCTCCGACCCTCCTAACTCTGCTGTATACTTTCATTTTATAAAAGGAGCCATTTCTTATTTTTGAATTTCAGAGGCTGTAGCAGTAGTAGTAAAAGGAGGAGGAGGAAGAGGCAGAGGAGGAGGAGGAGTGAGAGTGAGAGTGAGAGTGAGAGTAGGAGTAGGAGTAGTATGGGTTTGTTCCAGGGAGGGTTATGTATGGAAGTACTATTACCTTTCCAGTAGATTCAATATGAACTCTCCAAGTTCACCACTTAGGGAACTTTTTTTTTTTAAACAGCCAGGGAGAATGATTAGCTGTAGTTTCATTTAGGTCAAATCAATAAATATTTATTAAGTACTCATGTACAAAATCATGGGGAGAAAAAAAGCTGAAACAAAACACATGCCCATGCCCTTGGGCAGCTTAAAATCTTAATGGCAGAGATAATACTGTACACAAACTCTATAATTAAATTAGAAAAAGGTACAAAGGTATCCTTACCTGTTTGGCCATATTCTCCTTTTTGCGCCAGAACCACCATCTCCCAGACTTCTTTGGCATTTTGTCTTTGACCCAGGATTCAACCGTAGCCTAAAAGCGTTCAGTCCAAGTTATTTCAAACACTTTACCAATTATGTAAGACTCAGTTACCTTCTATTTACCTGTTACAGGAGGTGAATCACTCTATACTAGGCTATCTTTTCCCCTCTTGTTACAATTTCTTCTAGGCTGACAGTTCAGGCTTTTAAAATCAACAGACCTGCCTTAATCACAAAGTTCTTACATGACTGGAGGTTTCTTGAGGCTTTAGCGACTTGTTTCACCTGTTCTATCTGGTCCTTTCCCCACAGGCAGGCCCCAAAGTTTGATGTTGGGTGGCCACATAATATGGAAGTAGTAATGTGGAGATCGAACATAGTAACAGTGTACTGTACCTGATAGGTAGGCAAAAAAATCTCCTTGACCTATTCTTGGGTAGATTCCTCCCAGGAAACTGAGCTGATGAAATAATCTTTGTGAACAAGTTCAAAATTTGCCAGGTCCATCGGTCTGTAAAATCTCTCCTGGTCTTACTGATGCTGACACCATTCCTTTGCTAGCCATATCACCTTCTTCTATAAATTCATCCATATTAATAGACTGAGAAAATAGTTGTTCAACTTTGAATTGACTCTTATAGCAAATACACTCAAATTCTGTGCACAAGTATGGATTGCCAAGCAATAAAAAGAAGGGATAGAGTTGTTGTTTTTTAAAATTTCTTCTAGATCAATTAAATTTATTTATATGGTAGAACAGAGAAACTGGAACTGCAGTCTGGAGGATACTGAGTTCCAATCCTACTCCAGATATTTAGCCCGGTGACCCTGGGCAAGTCACATAACTTTTCTTGGTCCCAGTTTCCTCAACTGTAAAATGGGGATATTAACAGCACCTGCATCACAGGGCTGTTTTGAGGACCAAAGGAGATAATCTATGTAAAGCGCTTTGCAAAACTTAAAGTGCTCTCAAGATTCTAGCTGGCTATTATTTAATCTCATTGCCTGATTTCTTTGTGGTCCTAGGGTGTGCTACTTTGCATAGCTGTACTGAACTGTGAATCTTTTACAATATTTGGTCTTACATAACCCTCTAAGAATGAAAAACATTCAGTACACAAGTGTATACATTTGGGTGCTTTGCAAGTGCCATCCATATTACACTTTCTAAAGGTAGCAATACAGTATTGGGACAGCTTACCTTGGGCAAGCTCTTCTGGAACACTTGTAAGCTTAGGATCATGGGAGCAGCCAAGGCCCAGTTATAGTACCTGTCATAAACACAAATTATTGGTGAGCAACTATTAGATGATTCAGTGGGAATTAATTTTAAAACATGCAGAACAGCCTATTTGTGTTGGGAGGTAAGAGGATTAGTTAAATTTTTTTTTGCTGCATGAGTAATACTTGCTTTAAGCCAAATTGCTCTGGAAATGCAATATTCAATAAAAAAGAAAATAACATTCATTTCAACACTTTATTTTCAAATAAATGTGGTTCAAGTTTGAATTTGCATTTCAAAGTCATTGCCTATTTGTTTATTCAAATTAGATGATGTACTTCAAGAAAAGTAGCAAAGTTTCATCAAGATTTCAATGCCATTTCCTCTCACTTAAAAAAAAATCATAGAAACACATGATATTTACCGGTTATAGATCCGTATCACTAGATTAGGATTATCTATAAGTCCAGGGTTTTCTGCAAATTCATGGTAAGTAATGATATGTTCCATGAATTTTTCTGAAAGGCAAAAAAAAATTTGATCACTTTGGTTAGAGAAATAAAACTATCACCAAGTCCCTATAACCCAAAAGAAGTCGAGCTGATTTCCTCTACTTGTGAATATTAAAATTCTACAAGAGAATTTTCAGATAGGCATAGAAAAGGTTTTTACTGAACTTCCGTATTCATGAAAATCAGTCCAGAAACATTTTCACAGGAAACAAGGAAGACTCATATCCCAGTTTCCCTTTCCTCTTACATAATCCCAAACCCCACTAAGGAAAAAAAGGAGAAACGAGAATGGCAAAGACCTTTATATAATGTATCACAGATGAGTCCATCTAGAGGAGCAAAAATCTATTAAAGAACAACTAGGAACTATCACTAAACCACAGTGTGATGAGAAGAACCTCTTTAGTAACTGGAGATCATGCCTTTGGGGAAACAAAAGTAGATTGTATTCTAAGTTTAGAGTTAGAATATGTGCTATGTCATAAAATAATTTCAGTATCATGTAATTTCTTATTTAGGAGGCATATTGCAGACTGTATTTCTCAAACATTTGGGGTCAAGAAAGTCATTCATTGGGTAAAAAAAAATATTTGTATACTATTATCTCCCCGAAAGATTAGCAGGAGCCTAGAACATGACGAAGTCACCCAGTACTGACTAGACAGGGGTACTGGAAGTACATTTAGTAGAAAAATGTGGACAGGTGTCATGTGAGGAGTAAAATGATGTGGGGGAGGTGAACAGTAAATGGGTACTGACGTCTGAAATCCCAGCGAAGTAATAAAGAAATGGTGGCCCTGGTTACTCCATGCTGATGGTGCAGTTTTCTTCTATGAGAGCCAGGATAGTTGAGTTTGATAGAGGATTCACCCTTGGGTTCTGATCCCTAAAGGGAGAATGCTCACTAGCTGCTATGAGAAGACTGAAAGAAAGGGACTAAAATGAGACTGCTGTAGATGTGATTAAAACTCTGCTATGAATTTACATGAACTGCATTTTTTTCTCCCACTGTGTCATGGACACATGGGGAAATGGATGAGGATCTGACTCTCTTGAAGGAAATGGAAACGAAGTCTCTGGGGATGGGCACTGAAAATTCTTGCTACCTGATTTCACTTCCTTGTTATTAGCTTGCTATTATCCTCTTTCATTAAGTGTTATCTGCCATCTTGCTTGACCTGCCCAAAAAATTTTGGGTAGGACTAGGGAACTATGGATCTGAACAGGTGAGGTATCCAAACAAGTACCAGGAACCTGGGTGTATCTGAGAAAGGATCTACACTTAAAAATAAAACTACTAATTCTGGGGCACAGAGTACAGAGAAAAAGCGTCATTTAGTCCTTGCTACATGTTGATCTTGTATCCATTTGGGCAACAGGCTCCAATTTCCTTCATTCCCTTTCTTCTAAGTCCTGACTAAAAAAACAAAAGCAAATTCAAAAAACATCTGCTTTTCATTTTTTAAGGGAGAATTTCTCTCCCAAAACACTGAGAAAGGATAAAACATTCACATAGGAAGATTTCATATTTTTTTTCCCCTTTGGCATACTAAATAAAAACAACTTTATAACTAGGCTAATTTCACTAATATTTAAAATGACTCCACAAACATGTTTAAGTAAAGGATAATGAAACTCAAATTCATACTCCCAACCTACTTGACTGTGCCTCTTGAATCAAACCAGTAAACACGCTGCAATCTAATAGTATACAAATCACATCAGAAATGGAGAGGGGGTGGAGGATGGGGTGCACAACAAATTCTCTGTAAACTCTGAAATGACCTCAAGGAGAGAAATGAGGAGGTAGTTGTAGAGTGAAGCTAGCCAGAGGACCTTCAAATCAAAACTCGGTGAGAAATAAACTGTCAATTTATATCTCACTCCATTTACTACAAGTAATGGAAAGAGGATCTTGAATTAAAAGGAAACCCGACCAAAGGGCTATTGACCAAATTCAGAAATTTTATTTAAGGGCTTAAAGTTGACAGAAGGAAGGGATGACCAAAAGCGCTGAAGCTGTTTTTGTAACTGCACACTTGGGCGCTTTCTCCCTATTGATTGAGGATGCCTCAACACAGAACTAAAAAGTCACTGGTCTTGGGATATGCAAAGCTGAGCTGAAGTCCTGGCTCAAATGTTTACTAGCCAATGTCCCTATGCCTTCTAAATACCATGATCCTAGTTGTGTGACTATAGGCAAGTCATGTAAATTCTCTGCACCTCTGTGTTCCTGGTGAAAAATAGGGATAATATGATTTATACTGCCTACTTTATAGGGTTAATGTGAAGAAAGCACTTTTAAAATCTTATGGCACCAGATAAATTTGTGTTTTTCTTCTACAGGAGAAGCCCTTACACCAGGAAGGTGGAGCTTTTCCCACAGCTCCTCGGACAATTACTAAAACCAAGGCAGAAACTAACTGAAAAGATCACTTTCCTAACTGAAAGATTACTGAATACAGAGGCCCTCAGGAGGTTTGTGTTTTTTTCTGCTCTTTTCAAAGTCTACTCTTCCTGAGGAGACCTTTTCCTTTCCCACTCCAAAGATGAAAAAAACAAAAATTATGATGATTGCTAAATCACTGTGTTGTTGACAAATTCTTTTACAGGTGGGGAGTCAGATTAGATGGCCACTGAGATCTCCAACTCCAAAATATCTGCCTCTCAGCGTTCCTGGCTTCTGTCAAGTCCCTACTAAAACCCTGCCTTCTATGAGAAGCCGTTCCTGATCCCCCTCGATGCTAGCGCCTTCCCTCTATTGATTATCTCCCATTATATATGTTGTTATATATGTTGTTTCTATGTAGTTGTTTTCATGTTGTCACCCCCATTAGACAATGACCTTCTTGAGAATGGGACTGTCTTTTGGTTTTCTTTGTATCCCTGGTCCTTAGTACACTGCCTGGCACATAGCAGGCACTTAATAAGTTTACTGGCTGACTGACTCTTTGTGAATGTGGGGAAAGTAACTTGTTCAACAATCTCAACCTATCAAAGATTCAAATAAGTAAAGCTCCATGAACTATACTTTGCTAAAGACTCATGTCTTTGATATCAATCCCATTTGATACTTTACAGGTATATTATATGTAGGCATGTCCTATTAGTACAGATTTTAAAAATAAGATACATGCTGTTTTCCTATCGCTCCTTCTCAACTTAATTATAAATAAAAGAAAATTAAAACCTCAAAACAAGTATGTATATAATAATCAGCAAAACAAATCCCCAAGCTGGCCATGTCCAAAAACATATGTTTCGTTCTGCCTTTTAAGTCCATTACCCTTCTGTTAGGAGGTGGGTGGTGTGCTTTACCCTTTACCTCTAGAATTATCTACCAGAAACACTTTTTTAAAAAAAGCAGCATCCTAAACCATTATTATGGGGAAGGTGTAAAGCTATGATGGGGTTTGGTGACAGATTGTAAACAGGGATATAAACTCAGATCTGTTTTTTCTTTTTGAAGTGAAGACAGGGTCCTCCTGTTACATACCTTTTGATATCTCTCCATTCTCACTGAGGCCCCCACAAAGTGACAGGGTCACATCAGGCAAGTCCATTGCAGAATCAGAGAGGCATTCTGTGCCACTGTCGGCAGCTGCACTTCCCACTGACTGAGGAGACTGAGAGCCAGACAAAGTATCAGACTCCGTCCACTGTCTAGAACCTGGATCAGAATCACTGGAAGAGGAAAAAACAAAATCTATTCATCTGACATAGTTACACAGATTTACCATACTATATTCAATAGAGTGGTAACTTCATTCTAGATCAAATGATATCACATATCACATTGTGACCCTGGGCAAACCCATGTTTGCCTCAGTTTCCTCATCTGTAAAATGGGCTGGAGAAGAAAATGGCAAAGCATCCCAGTATCTTTGCCAATAAAACCCCAAATGAGGTCATGAAAAGTCAGACACAACTAATCAACTAAACAACAACAACCTAAATAGAGACTACTTTTAATTGAAGATTTCATTAAATTGTAAGCTTCTTGAGGGCAAGGACTATCTTTTGCCTCTTTTTGTATCACCTGTGCTCAACACAGTTCCTGGCACAAAGCGGACAATTAATAAATGTTTACTGGTTGATTGATACTAATTGCACTCTCTCTGCCTGGAAACGGTATCTGGATCTCAACTTTTATCAGAAGGAGGGAAGTCCTAGTGTAGAAACTTCCTCTAGGTTAGCAATTCATGTGTAACTCAGGAGAGTTATCTAGAGCCCCTAAGAAGTTTGTCTACAGAAGTTGTCCAGAGCCACTTTAAGAAGCTAAGTAACTTGCCCATGGTCACAAAGCTAGAATATGTCAGGATTTGAATCTAGGTCTTCCTGACTTCAAGGTGAGTCTTCTATCCATTACTTTATCTTGCCTCAATAAGACCATGAAATCTAGAATATGCACTTATTTATTAAATGGTTTAAAAACATACTCATTGCTAGTCTTATCTACATCATGTAGCTGATTTTAAAATCCCCCAAAGAGCACTAAGGCAGAAACATACCACACATACAAAAGGCAGGTAAACATTGTACACGTTCACTGAAGCCATTCATAAAACAAGGCAAAAATGTCAATTACCTTTGCAGTCTTTCTGATTTTAATTAAAGGGGTAAAAAAGGAGAAGTACTTATTTAGATTTCCACAATGAAAATTACAGTGTCATTAAAAAGAGCATGATATTTAGAAACAGTTTGATCCTAAAATCCTGGAAAAAGTAGAAGTACTTTATTATCCTGCAGAAAATTACTATGGTTTTTGAGAGATTACTTGAAAACTGTACTTTCCTAAACTGTGCTCATCTCAAAAGGCTGAAAGATTGGAGATAGAGAAAAAGAAAATTCCCAAGAGTTTAGACATCCTTAAGAAAAGGAAAGATTTTAAAGAAATAAACAGGGGCAAAATTGCTTTTATATTAACAAGAATACTAATGACATTCAACTTTGGGGATACAGGGGGACTACGGCCTGTACTTAGAAGCTGATCAACTCAATTTGTGAAGGATACTATGGTAGGTATTGGTTATGCTAAACCAAAAATGAAACAGTCCCTGACCTCAAGGAGCTTATATTTTATTGGAACCTAACAGAAATATCTGTTGAAAATTGTTTTAAAAAATAATTGCAAATTAGTGAGAAATTGGAAAAGAAAAACATAATTTGCTTAATTCTCTTTACATATTTAGGAACATGTATTATCCTAACTAGCAAATATTACCATATTACCAATATTGCAGACACATTTAATCCAAACAACTAAAGAACCTACACTAATTGTGATACAGATAATTTAAATAAAGCAAATGCCTCTATGAGACATTTTACTAAGCACTACCAAAAGTGATTATTGTAGAAATAATTCAAATTACTTAATAGCTGATAGATAAAATCAACATATGAGTACCAGTGAATTTGTCATTTACCACATCAGAGAAAAATCTCAAAATTAAGCAACAGGTTGACAAGTATTTCATAAATGGATATTTCAAAATTTAACCCAAAAAAGTAGAGAGCTACACTAAGTGAGTTTTTCTTTGTCTATTTCTCACTTTAATGGCGAAGTTGTCCAGTTTCTGTCCTTTAAAAAATAACCAATACTGACTAGAAAGTCAAGACTGAAGTTAAATCAGATCAATAGGATTATTCTCAAGAGAAGTAATGACAGGCACTCAGAATACAAAAGGTACATCTCCCTCACTAATCCTCCAAACAAGGATAAACAAGTAGGTTGTGAGAAAGATAAATTCTATGCCAGCCACCTATATTAAGGATGGAATAAAATGCCATATAACCAAATTCATGATTTGGAGAGGTATTTTATAATAAATTTTGCTGTTTACTTGTCAGCTGTCCTGTGTGACAACGATAACAAAATTAATAAGCCTTTAAGACATGCTTGTTATTTTAGATAGTGGAAGAAAAGAGAATGGGGCAGCATATGTTATTTGGAAAATACTGCCAAAGGGAGAAGCCCACATAAGAATGTGGATGGTAGGTCTAATAGTCAAATTATGAGGTCTAAAAATAAGAGCTGAAAGTCAATATGCCTTAATGGAGAATGTAGTTCTTAGAGTCATAAGGACCTGGGTTCAAGTTATGCCTTTAACACATACTAGTTGTGTGAACATTTAATATAAACTAGCTGTTTGGTTTTTGTTATTGACACCAGGCAACTTTCTAAGACTAAATTAAAGAGGAGTTTCTGACTTTGTAGTAGCATAGAGCAATGGAGGGAGTTTCCTTACCAGGAGACTTGTGTTGACACAGATCTGAACAAAATAACAACTGGCATTTATATAAATGTTCACAGATAACAAAAGGCTGTACATGTGTTATCTTATTTGGTAATTCTAGGGCAGCAGCGCTTCTCCCCCCCCCCATTTCTGCTGTCATCCCTTTACCTGAAAAGGGAAACATAAGCCTTGTGGTTGCAGATTCCTTGTGCACAAGTACACAAGTTATTTTTATTCTCACTATTATCTAAGTACTGAGGAATAATGGAGAGAAAAATATGGTAATGCACGGGCATTTTATCTTTCTAGTTTTAAGGTATTTGAGGTTGTTCAGTCCTCTCACCTTATCTTGCAATATCATATGCTCTCAATAAATATCAGTTCAATTAACCAATTGAATTGGATGATCAAAAATGAAACAAAGCTATTAGAACCTGGGGTAGAATTGAAATTTTTCAATAAATTTTATGGACCATTCACAAGTTGAATAAAATGAAAGTTCGCAGGATCATACTTTTGGTGCTCATAGATATCATCTAATTCCTTCATTGGTACAGATGGGGAAATCGGACTCAGAGTTAGTGGTTTGCTTAACATCACCAGGAGCACAAAGAACCAGGATTCTAACTTCTTTTTTTGCTAAATACAGGTCTTCTGACTCTAAATTCTACGCTTCTTACAAGTTAAGCCCTATTATTACAACATTCATCAGTTTTCTATTTCAAACAGAAAATTACATACAAAAATTCAATTATACTGAACTACTACCATATACAAAGATTCATCCCTATGGCTTGGTATGGTTTCATGTGACAATTTAATATTCCATGAGAGAATAGGAAATATTTTAATATATTTAATTGTAGTAACATCCTTCTCAATAGAAATATAATGATATAACAATATAATGATTTCAAGGACAAATTCCCTGAATACATAAAAAGTTTAAATAACTTTTTAAAATAGTACAATTTAAAAAATATTTAAATAGTACAAACTATATTTTAAATTTCTGTGTTCTTTCGAAATTAAAAAAAAGAGGGGGGAGAATGAAAAAAGGAAGAAGAAAGAGAAGCAGCACTGTGCAGTAGGAAGAACACTGGATTTTGTGGCAAAGGATACAGGTTTGAATCCTGGTGCTGATACCTGTGTGACCTTAGGCAAAGCATTTCATTCCATTCATCTCAGGTTCCTCATCTACAAAATGAGGACTAGACTGGACTAGACTAACCATTCTCAAAATATGGTCTGGGTATGACTGAGAGTACCAGGATTTTTTCAGGGGGTCTATGAGTTCAACACTATTTTCATAATAATACTTAGATGTTTAAATGTGCACACCCTTTGACCCAGCAATAGCACTTCTAGGGCTGTATCCCAAAGAGATCATACAAATGGGAAAAGGACCCATATGTACAAAAATATATTAGCTCTTTTTGTGGTGGCAAAGAATTGGAAATTGAGGGGATGCCCATAAATTGGGGACTGGCTGAACAAATTGTGGTATATGAATGTAACAGAATACTACTGTGCTATAAGAAATGATGAACAGGCTGACTTCAGAAAAACCTGGAAAGACTTATATGAACTGATGCTGAGTAAAGTGAGCAGAACCAAGACGACTTTGTACACAATAGCAGCCATGTTATGCAATGACTAAGAATGTTAAACTGAACCCTTCTCAGCATTACAAGGATCTAAGACATCTCCAAAGGCCTCATGATGGAAAAAAGCTATCCACATCTAAAGAAAGAACTATGGAGTTTGAATGCAGATGGAAGCATACTATTTGCTATTTTTTTTCTTCTGTTATGCTTTGTTTCCTCTTTCTGGTAGTTCCTCCTACTGGTTCTAATTCTTACTTACAACATGACTAATATGAAAATATGTTTAATAAAAATGTATATGTAGAGCCTATATCAGATTGTGTGCCGTCTTGGGGAGGGAGAGGGAGAAAAATTTAAAACTCAAAAGTTTATGGAAGTGATTGTTGATAATTCAAAATAAATTAATTTAAAAAGTAATATAAAGATGTTTTCATCTTTAATACTGTAAATATTGATAGATATAAGCCACATAAACAAAAGCTCCTGAGGAGGTGCTCAATAATTTTTAATAATGTAAAGGAACCCTGAGGCTAAATATTTGAGAACCACTGGCCTAGATGATCTCTAAATACACAAAATAACTACTGAAACATTGCTTAAAAAATGTTTCTAATCAGCCACCAGGGTAAGCCTGCTTTAATAAACAGAAAGGGTTGCCTTGTAAAGTGGTACTATTTGCATATCCTGTGCTAAAAGTCATTCATAATACTATTTCCTTTAAATAAGTTGATAAAGCTACCTAACTTTGTCCAGACAATTTTAATTTGCTTAACAAAACTTCTTCTATAAATAGATGCAAAACACTGCAGTTCATGTAGATTGTGAAAAATTTAAATTACTGTAACCCAGGTTAATAAGATTTTGCTGTACTTCTGGCTATTGGGGTCAGGAATGACCACAACTGGCACTTGGGATCAGATTTTTGGTGCCTGTCTGCTAATCACAAAGTTAAAAAAGCATACAGAGGCTGAAAACAATAGCAAAAACATAGTATGATTTCTACATTTTCTAAACTCAAAGCAATCATCAGTTCTGGTCTAATATCTTTTATTCCCATTCTTATCTTTCTGAATGGCTTATACTTCATTCTACAACTAACTGGAGTATCAGATAGTTTGAGAGCTGTCTTCCCTAAGAGTGTAGTTAAATACAATACCTTTTGGGGAAATAGAGCGCTGCAACTTCAGGTTCCAAGGCTTTTAGGTCATCTAGGTAAATATCATCAGGCCCCTGGTGCTGGCTTCTCTTGTGGACACCTGTTATCACAATTAGGATGTTTTTAATGAAAAGCATGAAAATCATAGCATGTAAGAGCTGAAATTTATTTCAACTCCTACCCAAAGCATAAATATAGTCAACAATATCTCCCCCTAATGGTCAGCTGGCTTCTACATGAAGCCTTTTAGCAAGGAACTCACTTCATGCTTCTTCTCTCTCCATCTACTTCCCTCTACTACGAATCTGCCCAAATTACTGACTGTAATATTAAGCAGGAGAGGTTCCAGGAGAAGTTTGTGTAACTCTATTAGAAACCACTATCCTTCCAAGTTGACACAAATCCACTAATCAACACCGTTATGCATCCTTTCAATCAGTTTTGAATTAGCCTGACTACTAGGATTCAGTCCACAGGCAAAAGCCAGCTATTATTTTGGTATTCACTTAAAACCTTCAAAGTAAATAGACTGAGACTATTGTCAACAGTGAAATATGGAGGGTGGCGTTTGCATTCTGCATTTCTTGAAGCAGCCTAAATTTGGATCTTCAAAGGGCTCGACAGGACTGAAAATAAGTGATTATGCAGAGCAGACACCATTTATAAATTTGAACTGTCAAGGTTCTGCCATGATTGCGACACAGCAGAGACTTTTTCTATAGCTGATCAGGGGTTTTCACAAAGCTGCCTATGGAAATGTCATGTTAACAACTGTAACAACTGTAACCTCCTTAGTAACGATATGCTTTACACTTTATTGAACAGTTGGTATGGTGGAAAAAGCACAGGTCTAGGATTCAGAAGACCCGAATTCTATAATCCTTGTTCTACAATTTTCGAGTTGTAGGCAATTAACCTACCTGAGTCCCAGTTTCCTTTCTTCCTTTTTTTTTTTTAAAGGCAACAATAACACATTAGGATCAAATGTGGACTTAGCACAGTGCCTTTCTTATAGTTAAGTGCTCAACAAATGTTTAATAAGTCAAATGAGATTATTGTTAACATATATAGAAGTCTCCTAACAGTTACAAAGCTACTATGTGAATAGAAGGTTATTATTTTACTCTTTGAGAAAGGGCAAACTAATATTTGGGGTTTTTTTGGCCAGGCAATGGGGTTAAGTGACTTGACCAGGGTCAACACAGCTAGTAAGTGCTATGTGTCTGAGGCCGGATTTGAACTCAGGTCCTCCTGACTTCAGGGCCGGTGCTCTATCTGCTGTACCACCTAGCTGTCCCCCACTTTTAAATCCTATATATATATATTTTTTTAATTTTTAAAAGTTTTTTTTTTTAATTTTTAGGCAATTGGGGTTAAGTGACTTGCCCAGGGTCGCACAGCTAGTCAGTGTCAAGTATCTGGTCTGAAGCTGGATTTGAACTCAGGTCCTCCTGACTTCAGGGCCGGTGCTCTATCCACTGCGCCACCTAGCTGCCCCTAAGGGCGAACTAATATTACAGGTGAGGACAGAAGGTTATCACATTTGTCAGTATAATCATGGCTCAATCTAGATGTGAGAACAATTCTCTTTCTTGGTTCAGAGCTCTATTTACTGCATTATACTGATTCTTTGGACAAGAATCATAGGAACCAAAGATAATTATGACAAACTTGCTTATTAAACATATAATACCAGAAAAGAATCTTAAAAAAAAATTTTGGCCAACTATATAGTAAGTTTTCTACATAATTCAATAGCTGATGTTTAATGGACATTTTTATATAGCTTTAAGGTTTCCAAAGTCCTTTGCATATCTCCCTTTGTTTCACAGCAACCCTTTGAAATAGGTAGTAGGCGTTCTTTTCCATCTTATAGAAGAGGTAACTGAGGGGCAGAGAGGTTATCTGGTTTGACCACAGTTAGATAGCTAGAATGTAAAAGAGGGAGGATTTGAACCCAGGTTGTTTGTTTAACATCAGCTGTTTCCTTATATACTTCTCCTCAAGCCCATTCAACTCTCTTCCATGTTGATTAAGCACAACTATCTGGAAAAGCAAACAAGTTTGACAAGCTATGTCATATTCTGTACCTGAAGTCTCCTACCTTATTCCTGAAAGGACTGTATTACATCTTCTATTTCCCAGGACTAAATATTGTTTATTGCAATTAATTTGAGATTAACTGCTTTTTAGTGATGTGTTAATTTACATTCCTATTGTCATTATGTATGCTGCTTTTGGTTCATTTTGTTTACCCTTCACCAATTTATAAAAAGTCTTTCCATGTTTCTCTGAGCTCCTCCTTATACTCCATTTCTTATGGGACAATAATAATATTCCTTTACAATCACACTACAATTTGGTCAGCCACTCTTCAATTAATGGACAATCACTTTGTTCCTATTTTTTGACACAACAGAATACTGCCATAAGTATTTTGTACTGATCTCCTTTGGGCATATACTCAATAATGGGTTTACCAGGTCAAAGGCTGGGAATAGTTGAGTGATTTTTCTCCCATAATTACAATTGTTTCCTAGGCACACCAGCAGTTCAGAGCTCCACCAACAAGGTATTAGTGTTCTGTCTTCTCACTATTTTTCCACAATGACCACTTTCATTTAAAAAATTATCTTTACCAATTTGATGAGTGTGAGGGTGAAACCTCAGTGTTGTTGTTTTAATTTGTATTTCTCTTATATTTGGAGTATTATTCCAAATGGTAGATGGTAGTTTGCATTTCTTTTGAAAATGGTTTGTTCACATCCTTTGCCATTTCTATTCTGTCCCCTGACTCCCCTCTGTAATTTAAAACAGAAAGCTTTTGTTCTTAAAAGTCTCACTGATTTGGCTAGTTTCTCAGGGCTTCACTTCACTTTTCATGTGGCGATCTAATGGCTCTGTTATAAGCTCAGCCCCATACGGTCTGAAAACCAGACTATCAAAATGATCTACCATCTACGTTCAGGACTGTTAATTCCAAGTTAAGAGCAAATGAATACCTTTCTTCTTTGATGGGGAATCCAGTTTAGTGACTGGCTTTATTTCTGATGATGGAGGCTCCGCTGATGGGCTAGGGAGAGGATCTGCATCTAACATAGATAAAATTTGTGAGCTTTCGAGAGGAGGTTCAAGGATTGCAGAAGCAGCAGAAGTTGTCTCAGCCGTCTCCCTCATCTGAGTACAGAGTGCCCGTGGCTTTGGTTTTACTATTGTACACACAGTGTCTTCCAATGAAGCATCCTTCTCAACTTCATTTACCAGGTTATCATCATTGGGGATGACCCTAAAATGAGTATTTTCTGATGGTGTGATGGTAGCCGTTCGAGGGTGATCTGATCTCTCTTTCTTGCTGATCTGAAAAAGATAGGCTGTAGTTGTTAGCAAAAAGAGAACTGTCAACTCTGTTACTCCTGGAATGACTTTCTCCTGACCTCTAGTCTCCCATCACCAAAAGCCTATTTACCATCTCAAACTGGATGTCTCACTGATATATTAAATTCAATATGCCCCAAACAAATCTTCTTTTCTCCCCCAAACCTTTCCCTTTGCCAAATATAAATTACTGTTGAGGGTGCCATAACCCTTCCAAGTCACCCAGCTTCAAATCTAGGAGTCATCCTTGATTCCTCAATCTCTCATGCCCTCCCCATCCAATCTATTGCCAAATTCTGGCATTTCTACCTTTGTAACTCCCTTGCATATTCCCTCTCTGACACAGCCCAGCAGTAACGGTATAGACCCGTATCACCTAACGCCTAGACTACTAGCCTGCTGATCTCCATACTTGTCTCTCCCTACTCCAGTCCAACCACTCAATTGCCAAAGTGATCTTCCCACAGTGCAGGTTGGATTCCCCTTGCTTGCAACACAATAAACTCTAGTGACTCCCTATTCCTTCCAGCATCAAGTATAAAATCCTCTGATGTTCACAACCTGGCCCCTTCCTAACTTTCCAATCTTCTTACACTTTGCTCCCCTTCACATATTCTATGATCTAGAGACATTGATCTTCTTGTTATTCCCTATATGTAACACTCTGTTTTGTGATGCCACACTTTTTTTTTTCTGGTTGTTCCCATGCCTGGAATGTGCTATTTCATCTCTATCTCTTAGCTTTCCTGGTTCCTTTAAAGGTGAACTCAAATCTTACTTTCCACTAAGAAGCCTTTCCAGTACAATCCTCTCTTCCCTCTTAAATGCTACAGCCTTCCCTCTGAGATTACCGCAAATTTACCCTGTCTATATCTCACATATATATAGTTTATCAATGTTGTCTCTATGACTAAAATGATATACTTGATGGGAGAGACTGTTTTTCTCTTTATTTTCCCAGCACTTAATACAATGACTGGCATATAGTAAGCAATTAATAAATGGATATTGACTTCATTTGACTTATAACACATACCATACTGGTCTGAATACAGCTTGTGCGCCCCTGAAATGGGATCCTTTTGCAAGGAAAAAAATTGCAAACATACAATGAAAAGTAACACCAACTACAGACTATATTCAGGTTTTCTACAAAATTGATTTTTTAATGGAAACATGTGGCCTCTATTTGGATGAAGATACATGTTTTTGCAATGAACAGATAATAGAATCACCTCTCAAAGGTCACCCAGTCAAACATCTGAACAAGAATCTGTGCCCTACACACATAGCTGACAAGTGGTCAACCAGCCTTTGCTTAAATATCTCTGGTGAGAGCCCTTAACTTCCTGAGAAGCTCATGCCACTTTTGATTAGTTCTAATTTTTAGGAAGCATTTGCTTACATCAAGTCTAAATTTGCCCACTTACAGTTTTCAGCCACTGATCCTAAGTCTGTTCTTTGAAGTTAAGCAAAACATATCTAATCCCTCTTTCATGTAAGGCTCCTTCAGGTATTTGAAGAAAGCTATCACAGTCTTTCCTCTCCCCCCTCATCTTGTTCTCTGCTGGCTATTCTAAATGTGGTCTGACCAGGGCAGAGTACAAAGAGACCATCATTTCCCACTCCTGGCCACTATACTTGACTTCCATATTACATGTTACTGACTCTTATTGAGCTTGAAGTTCACTAAAATCCCAAATTTTTCCATTGAAACTGTTTCCTATTTATATTTTCTCTCATCTCATAAATGGGAAAGTAATAGGCTTAACCCAAGTACAAACCTTATATTTATTGCAAATTTCATCTTACTGGATTTGGCCCAATTTTCTGGTCTGTAAAGTTCTTTTTGGACCCTGTCTGTTATCCAGTATATTAGCTATAACTTAAGGCTTGGTGTCAGTTGCAAATCTGAAAATAATTCCATGTATACTTTTATTCAATTCACTGTCAAAAATGATAAATAGCACAGAACCAAGTATAAATTCTTGGGCACAGCACTAGAGACTTTCTTTCAAACTGACATTGAATCATTAATGACCATTCTTTGGGTCTGGACATTCTACTAGTTCTGAACCCTCCTGTACTGTCCTTAGTCCACATCTCCATTTTTTCCTACAACAGTTGCATGAAAGTAGTACCATCTTTTGTGGTAACAAAAAATTGAAAGCAAAGTTAGTGCCCCAAAATTGGGGGACTTAGCCAGCACAAGGTGGAGTATAACTGCCTTCTTTCTAGACTAATGCCAAAAAATGGTCTGACTTTAAGGGTGAGTAGAAAAAAATTTTTTTTTAAATGTTTAATATACAAAACCTACTTATGCTTAGAAATGTAACAAGTTTATTAAAATATATCAATTTATTAATATAGTATTATATGTTTATTATAAACTAATATTAACATAGCTATAAATTATAATGTTTACATTGTATTATATTATAAATTATTTTTATATAATATAAAAGTTAAGAGGTAAGACCTGAATATAACCACAGATAAACTCATAATGCCTAGCTCTGCTGAAATAAAATATAAGCCTACATTATTTTCCTCTCAACAAACTCAGCTTTCATTTTCCAGTTCTTATTTTTCTGTCAAAAACAAAACTTTCAATCAGTTTCCTTTTTTTAAATGTTAATTTTAAGATTTAGTAAAGCTTCCTACTCAGCTTTTCCCCCAAATCCCTACATTCTAACAGACCATTGTCTGTTTTAAAAAAAATCAATATTTTAACCAGATATTTTTCAACATTTATGCATGCTGCTAATACGAACTTTTAAAAAATGTTTTATTGATGTGATTTTTTTCTTTTAAGTCACTGACTTCGCAATGGCCACTCCCCAACCTAACTATATCCTCTCCTATAACAAAAAAAGTATAATTAAGCAAAACAAATCAAAATATTCACTACATCAACATTACACACCTACAGCCCCCCATGTTTTTGCTAAGAAAAGGGAAATATAAGGCTCACTATCTGAAGTCAAGGCCAGTTATCACGTTGCTCAGAACTCTGATATCCTTTATTATTATTTTCTTTTATATTATGTGCCCGTTTTGTATGTGCCCATCCTGTATCAGTTCGTACAGATCTTCTCACATTTTTCTGAAATCTTCATGTTCACTATTTTGTTTTATATTCATATAACACAATCTGTTTAGTCAGATTCTATAAACTATGGGCATCTACTTCGTTTCCAGTTTTTCGTCATCACAGATAGGGCTGCTATACATATTTTACAGTGTTTTGTTTTTGGTTTTTTGGGAGGCAATCGGGGTTAAGTGACTTGCCCAGGGTCACACAGCTAGTAAGTGTCAAGTGTCTGGTCTGAGGCCGGATTTGAACTCAGGTCCTCCTGACTCCAGGGCCAGTGCTCTATCTACTTCGCCACTTAGCTGCTTCTTGCTATACATATTTGTCATCTATGTGGCACCTTCACTCCTGTCTTTCACTTCCCTGAGACATCTGCCCAGTAGTGGTATTACTAGGCCAAATGATACAAACAGTTTAGTGACTTTCTTAACATACCTCTAAATCGTTTTCTGGAACCAAAATGTTTGAAAAGATATTTGTAGTACAGTTATGTAACCACAGGAGGGCACTCAAGTCATTTTTACATGTGAAAGTAAATCTTTGAAATTCCTGTTTTCTTCTGTGAATCCAAGAACATTTTACAAGTGTTTAATCTTTATAAGCAGAAAAACAAAAGCCGCATCCATCCCACATGTATATCATTACCTTGGTAGACTCTGGGAAACCTCCCCAAGTCCACTCCATGTGAGATTCTGATCTGAGCAAGCTCTCAGCAGGTTTCACTTCGAGCTCTGAATCACTCTTAGGACAGACGGTCTGGGAGAAGGCACTGTCAACATAAGCAGAAAGACATGCGGCAGTGACTGAAAAAAGCAGGTAATTAATAGGCCCCTTTAGCTTGCCATGATTCATGTAAGTCTGGAGGGTACATGTACGTTGGACTTACAAGTTTACCCTGCTGATAGAAAGACCCCAGTGAGAAGCAGTTTCAGCTTTTCCTTCACAAGGCAGAAAGGCCCCAGAGGTCTTTCAGAACACCGAAAAAGCTTAAAACAAAGTCTTGTCAGATGGCTTCATTTTCACACCTTGTCTGCTTTTAATATTACTCATAGTTCAAAAAAAAAGTCAGTGGCTGACCTAGGATTAGAATTTCAGGATTTTAAGGCCCCAAGTTCAGAACTACATGCAAACCATCACATTGCAATTTGGAAGACAGACAGACTAGACAGAGGTTGTTAGACACAAAGTAAGAGAAAGAATCCAATTCATATCAGGGAGAAAAATCTCACGTTTTTATCACTAGGAAAAGACAGAAAGGTAATCTGATGCCTGCTGAAAAAGAGAGTAGCCATTTAACAAGTCTGCCTAAGTCCTTCTTGCCTTCAGAAATTTAAACAAATGAAAAGAGAAGTTAATAAAATTATTTACTTGTCCAAAGGGGACCAATCTCCATCAGATAATGGGTAATGATCACTGGAATGGAAGATCAAAGGTTCCTTATAGTCTTCCTCCTTCATTGTAGCAGCTGAAGGTCCTCTGTGGAAGAAAGAAGAAAAGAATGGTGGAAATGACTACAATTAACTGTAACCATGCAGGCCTCCAATGACAATTGTCTCAATCAAAAGAAAGAGAAAGAGGATGGGTTATTAAAAACAAAGATTTTCCAAAGGAAAAAATTATGGAGAAGGGGTTGTTAATAGTGACAATGAAAAAGAGCTTCACAAGTTATTTCAATTGCCATTTCCATTTAGGGGAGGAAATGTGATTTAAAAGAATATTTTCACTCAGTAGTTATTGATTTATAAGAAAACATAGCAACTATTTCATGCCATGAATTATATACTTCAAAAATTTAGAGACAACAGTAGATATATTATTTAAGGCAGATTTTAACTCAAAGATTAGCTTAGAATAGATCCTTCCTCCTCCTCCCATACCATTTCACTATTCATTAGCACCAACTCCATGATATATAGGGGAGGTAATGAGGAACCTGTGAAATCAGATGAAATGTTATTGCTTTCCGGGAGCTCCTGCAGCTATTTTGTGGGTGAAGAGAGGGAAACTATTAGTCATAATAAGATTTACATCAATTTCACATATGACCTTTTTTCATAGATGAAGCTGTACTGAAAAATCACCATCCTCATCTATATCATAGATATTACACAAATGAAAAAGACAGAATTTTTTTTCATGACCTCCATCTTAATGGAAAATAATAATGAATCTGAGAAATTAATAACATCAAAAGGCATTCCTACAGGGCTTTAGAACAGCAGAAGAGGGTAGTGGGTAGAGAGCTGATTTTAGAGTAAAGAAGACTTATGTTCAAATCTCACCACTCATACATACCAGCTGTGTGACTATGGCCAAGTGACTTAGTCCCTCAGTATCTGAGGCAACCAAGTCTGTAATTTGCAGAAAAGATACTGACACAGGCAATTACAAATCCAATCCTTATCCCTAATTCACTGTCCCTTCCTGGGGATACAGATGAAGTCTCCAATGCTTAAGGAGCAGACTAAAATGAACAAATATTTACATTTCACAGAATATGCTTCATTACTTTATTAAAGTTAAGCCAAGAAGAATACCAAAGCACTCATTCTGATAACTGGATTTAAGAATTCCAATAAAGAGATTCAGCATAAACAATTTCCCATGATGGCTAAGACAGAGGAAATTATTTATAGTAATTTGGGATCCTGGATATGACTAAAGTGAAAATTTTTTTTCAGTCTCGTGACTCTATTGTTAACATAGTACTTACATAAACTATTTTACAGAAAACTTGTAGTCTTTACAAAATGAGATGACTCAAAATCTAGAATCATTTTATACAGTGATAACCTTTTCTCCCCTATTCAAAAAATCAATGCTAAGTTGAAAGAGGAAATTTAAATTATCTATGCCTGGCAATTACAGGACACAAGTAGGCTGCAAAACATTAGCTCTAAGAGCAACAAATAAGTCATGAGGAAAGTCATCTAGCAGGAGTTTGATCCAATCAGTTGTCACGTATTTACAATGACAATTTTAAGAAAAATTATCATGTAGATGAGCAATGTGTTTGTTTGAAGCCTTAAAGAGAACACAGAGGAAATCCTGTTCCATTCACTTAATAATTGCTAGATTCACATTTGGAATCTGACATTTTTCATGAACATCTCTCATGCAACACAGCTCAACTGGCTGAAATAAAAGTCAGATGATTAGATAATTATGTTTGCTTATCTGTTCCATGTCAGAAATGAGAAAGGACAAGAGGAATTCAGGCTATAAACCTTTAAGAATAAAGTTATCCCACAGTGACTATAGTCATTATAGGGCAGAAGATGAGGAATGGCTAAAAGGGATCTACAGTAAAGATATTCCCCCCTCTGGGGAACAGATTTGTTTCCATCTTTTTCTGCCAATCTCTCTCTGGACTTGTTCAATCAACCAACCAATAAGCATTTATTAAGCATCTACTATGCGCAAAGCTTACATGGTAAATGGGGAGATAATGAATACCTATGTCAGTTCATACAAAATATAGGGCAAATATTTTTAGGAAGAAGGCAACAGTAGCTTTGAAGGAAATGAGAGATTATATGAGGTAGAGTTGAGGAGGGAGTGCACTGCAGTCGGGCATGGTGGACAACCAGTGCAAAAGCTTGGAGATTTAAGGTGAAATGGTGCTTGTGAAGGACAATAAGAAGGCCAGCTTGGTTGGAATGAGGAGTACATCAAAAGGAATATGCATAATAAGTCTGGAAAGGTAGGTTGAAGCCCAGATTGTGAAGGACTTTAAATGCCAAACAGATCTGTTTTGTTTTGCTTGGGGGGTACATGAACTGGGATAAGGAAAAAAAAATTATTTTCACAAACTTCTACCTAAATCTAACATTCCCTCCAATTACAAATGTAGGAAACAAATATTATTCTGAAAAGGGGTCCATAAGCTTCACCAAAGTGCCCAAAGAGACCATATCACAAAAAAGGTTAGGAGCCCTTATGCTAGAAATAATAGGGAGCCAGTTAGTTTATTGAATACGTTGATCTTTCTTCTTTTGGGAGGAGGAAGGGGCAAAATTTGGGGTAGGAGTGTTACATTGGAGTGTTACATTGCTTTTTATGCTATTACTTTTATGCTTCTTGTTCTGATATTCTATTAATGTCATTGCTGGATGTTTAAAATATTTTTTATTAATGACTGACTTTTTGTGTTGCTCTTGCAGTCTATAGTCGGGGAAAGCATTAAAAAACTATTCATGCTCACAGGAAATAATTTTTATTTCTATAAACTAATATGTCCGGTGAAAAGCAATCAAGGCTTTCATGCATTATTCAAGCCAAAAACCCACATTATGCTGGGGGCAAAAAGTTCAACAAAAACAGTTACTTTGCATGTTTAACCGCTTTCATCAGTGATCTTAGGAAGAAGCAGACTTATTCTAACACTGGTTGCCTGCACCAACATGACTAACATCTAAAAAGAGCACAGCAATTTTAGGTGTGATTCATACAAGCAAGTTTAAGGCTCTAATGTTTCAAGAAAAAAGGGGCAGCAATTCATTTCCTCCAACTTTTCTTTCTTTCATTTTCAAGAAGCCTAAATTAACTTCAATGTTTGTTCAATAAATGAGTCTCCAAATTAAAATATTAGTAGCATATTAGAATGTTATTTATTAAAATGAGAAGTGAAAACTTAGTTTTGGAAACTATGAGAGTGTGACAAAGGTGGTCTTCAAAATTCCAAACTGATATGATACCCAACTTCAAGACAATGAAAAGTCTCAACCCCTCATACACTAGACCTGTTAGCTGTTAACATAGCCATCTAGATATATACATTGGGGTTTAAGGTTCTTTTATTTTCTCTGTCTGATCTCTTTAAGAAGTACATGTTACGTGAAAAAAAACTGGAACACTTATACATGGCTGATGGAGTTGTGAACTGATCCAACCATCCTGGAGAGCAATTTGGAACTATGCCCAAAACGCTATAAAATGTGCATACCCTTTGATCCACCAATATCACTGTTAGGTCTGTATCCCAAAGAGATCAAACAAAAGAGAAAAAGGACCTATTTGTGCAAAAATATTTACAGCAGCTCTTTTTGTGGTAGAAAAGAATTAGAAATTGAGGGAGTGCCCATCAACTGGGGAATGGGCTGAACAAGTTGTGATATATGATTGTGATGGAATACTATTGTTCTATAAGAAATGACGAGCAGGATGGGTTGAGAAAAAAAGATGGGAAGACTTACATGAAGTGATGCAGAGTGAAGTAAGCAGAACCAGAACATTGTACACGGTAATAGCAATATTTTAATGATCAACTGTGAAAGACTTAGCTACTCTCATTAAGACAACAATCCAAGATAACTCCAAAGGACCCATGATGAAAAATGCTATCTACCTGCAGAGAGAAAACTGGTAAACTCTGAATGAAGACTAAAGGAGATTTTTTCAATTTTATTTTTGCTGGATTGTGTGTGTGTGTGCACGCGTGTGGGTGCATGTTTTCTTTTGCAACATGGCTAATATGGAAACATGTTTTGCAGGACTTCCCATTTATAATATCATATTGCTTGCCTTTTCAGGGCTCAGGGGAGAGGCAGGAGGGAGAGAATTTCAAACTCAAAAAATTTTTAAATGAATGTTAAAATTTTAAAAAATGTAAATGGGAAATATTTAATGAAATAAACAAGTAATATTAAGAAAACAGAAAAAAGAAGTACATAAAAAAGAGGGAACTATTTTTTTTAAAGCAAAACAGAAATGGGGAAGGGGCACTTTAAAGGAAATGGAAAGACTGACAAACTACAAAAAGAGGTGGTAGAATGAGATGTGTCAAAGGGCCTCATTTTTGTAAAGTCTTTACTATAAAGTTGTTTTTTTTCCTCAACTCTAAACCATATTCCTTTCACTCAAAATCATTCCAAGTGCTACTGTGCCATATAAACCACTCAAAAATAACAAGAAATGCAACGAAAATGGCACAAGAATTATAAAGAGATACACACAGTTTGGCCCTTGGAACCTATGGCATACTAAAGACCACATAAAGTGAGCTTGTAACAAATTAAAGCACGTGAAATAGACAATATAGCTCACACTTATATACTTGTAAGCCCATACTATATTCCTGCAATGCATAAATTAACATTCTTTCCCTAACATTGACAACTCACCTTTTTATTAGCAATTAAACGTAACTTTTTGAACTTTTTTCTTTTCTCTGATTTTTTTTTTTTGCAGGGGGAAGGGAATGACACTTTTCATTATTTTAGTAGCACAATTAATTATGTAATTTAAAATCTAAAATATCTATGCTAAAAATTCATTTAAATTCACAGAATTTAGGAACTGCATAAGACTTTAGAGATCATCTAACCCTCAAAGTTTGTTCAAAGGCCTCTGGGCATCCCCAAAGCCTTTCAGGGGAGTCTATGAGGTCAAAACTATTTTCATAATAATACTAAGATAACCTAATGTGGTAAATATCAACAGAAGTAACCCACAAATGAAAGCTCTTGGGGGGGTTC